CAATATGCTGTATATGTAGCTAACTTGAATTTAAATAAAATCTTGGAATAAGCCAGAAAAAAGATAAGATATTATTGAGTGGGCCAAAAGAATATGGATGATAGTTGAGCTGATCGAGGGCTGGTTAGAGGGCTTCTGGAATAGACATCCAGGAACCTACTATATATTCTTGTCTTCAGTGATTTTATGGACATGTTTCTGAACAGTGAAAGAATAATTTCACCTGAAAACATTGTGATATGGTTGTTAATCAAGATGGCATGACCAGGCCACTATAACCCTTCAGTGTTTCAGTCAACCAACCATTTAAGGACCATTTGCAGAAGGAATGTGAGTCTTGGTTCTTGTCTGAAATTTTTCTATTAAGACCTTCCGGTAAGATCAAGAAAGTGTCAGCATCAAGACTTACAGAATGGAGTCAGTAGCTGTGCACCCTTTAAAGAAATGCTGCATCACCAAAATTCTTGATGTCCCAGAGGACAGTATTCTATGGAATACTATGAATGCCAATGAGTCTAAGTTGAAAAGAGATTCAGAAAATTTGAATTCTAAGTATGTGAAGAAGTTTTAAGAATACATTAACCATTACTTCACATGTATTTACCTTTTTTATACACACACAGTATTGATATGCGATTTTAAATATTTATATCTCTATAGAAATAAATCCAGGGTTCTTTCAATAAGGATAAAATAAAAACTCCAAGAGATAAAAGGCATGTCATAGGTTATATTTTTGCTTCAAGGCCAAAAGCATCATTAAAGTTCAGTTCATAGAAATGGTAGGATTGACCCGCTAGAATATAATGTCTGAATGTCTGTGAGAGAATCCTAGGGAATACAATCCACAGGATAGATTTTAACATGGCTCTTTCAGTAACTGATCAAATTAACCAGGGGGGAAAAAAAAATCAACGGAGGTTCAGAAATTTGAACAAAACAATTAACATACTGGGGCCCCTGGGTGGCTCAGTGGGCTAAGCATCTGACCGGCTCAGGTCATGATCTCACAGTTCGTGGGTTCGAGCCCCACATCAGGCTCTGTGCTGACAGCTAGCTCAGAACCTGGCACCTGCTTCAGATTCTATATCTCCCTCTCTCTCTGCCCCTCCCCTGTTCACGCTGTCTCTTTCTCTCTCTTTTTCTCAAATAAATAAAGACATTAAAACATTAAAGAAAAAAAAAAGACATTTGCACTGAATGCAGACTTCACATTCCCCACAAGCTCATATTGGACATTTACAGACGGTCCATCAGGGGGGAGGGGGCCACAAAGCAAGTCTCAGCAAATTTTAGGTGGTTGAAGTCATTCAGAATATCTACTCTAATTAGATTTTTTCAACCTGTAAAAAAAATCAGTGAAAAAAGCCCCATAGAAGTAGAAAACCCCTATGTTTGGAAATTAACCAATACATTTATTTCTAAATAAGACACAGGGTGAAGGTGAAATTCTGATGGAAGTTAGATGATAGAAAAGGGAGAAAAATGTTATCAATATTCACTCAAGATATGATTTGTGTATGTAGAAAATCCAAGAGAGTCTACATATCAATTGCTAGCAATTGTTAAGAGATATTCAAAACATATTATTAGAGTGGTATCTGGGTGACCAAGTCAATTGAGTACCTGACTTTGGTTCAGGTCATGATCTCACGATTTGTGAGTTTGAGCCCCGCATCTGGCTCTGTGCTGACAGCTCAGAGCCTGGAGCCTGCTTTGGATTCTGTGTCTCCCTGTCTCTCTGCCCCTCCCTTGCTTGCACCCTGCCTGTCTCTCTCTCAAAAGTAAACATTAAAAGTTAAAAAAAAACCCCACATATTAGAATCAATAAGAGTTTTGCAAAGTTGCTAGATTCAAAATCAATATACAAAGTCAAATCTATTTCTACAGAGGAGCACAAATAATTAGGAAAGAAAGATATCATTTATTCTATTATCAAAAATATCAATTATATGGAAATAAACCTAACAAAAAATGTGTAAGATCTCCATAGATAATTATAATGCTTAATAGAAAGACATAAAAGAAGACCTAAATAAATGGATTAGAACACAATTATAAAGATGCCAAGTCTCCCAAATGTATCTAAAAGATTTAGTGACATTCAAATTCTCAACATGATTATGTGCATGTGTGCAGGCTGGCAAGCTGGTTCTAAATTTTATATGGAAGTGCAAAGAAACCTATTTTACTTGATGTCAAAACTTATTATAAAGCTCTAGTAACTAAAATAGTCGGTGGATAAAACAGAGATAGAATCTTAGATGGAATCAAGTCCAGAAACAAACCCACCTGCATGTGGACACTTGATTTATGACAGACTCAGCCCAGCAGGGCACAGTGGGGGTGGAGGGAAACTTCAGTAAGTATTGTCAGAACTGGGTATCCACATAGGAAAATGTAAAACGGACCCCTCATTATTAACAAGCTCCAAGGGAATTACAGTGAAAAACAGCAGGATAAAAAGATAACATAGGGGGAAAACCCTCCATGACTTCAGGTTAGGGAAAGATTTCCTAAGTCATAAAACGCACTAATCATAAAGGAAAGAATTAATAAGTTTGATTTCACTAAAATAAACGCTTCTACTCATTGACACGTGTGAAAACACAGCCATAGAGCAGAAGATAATGCACTATCCATACATAAGACAGACACACACCCAAGAGAAAATGGGCAGTTTTCTCTCTCTGGCGTTATCTTCCTTCCTTCCTCCCACAACACACAGTCAGGGGTATTGTTTTGTTTTGGTTTGGTTGGGTTTGGTTTTGGTTTTGGTTGCTTTACTTTTTTTAAGGTTCATATACGTGGCAACTGAAAGATGAACAGGAGTATATCTTTGATATTTACAAAAATAAAAAGCACTCATTTGGTTTTGAACCTATAGTGATCAATTTTCCATAAGATGTTTTGTCTCATACATTTAAGTGAGGGACTAAGTTAGGAAAAATCCAAAAGGAAAAGTGAAAAGATAGGCTAGATGAAAACAATGGTGATGCTGTGCTCTCTTTAAGTAAGGGAGAAAAATAAACGGTTTAACCTTATAAGACGTGAGAGGAAGCTGAATCTGAAAGGGAAGGTAAACAATTCAAGTAGGAAAGGAAAATGAAAATGTACACAATAAGGCTGAGAAATGTTGAAAGATAGTATCTGAATGATCATGGGAAAGCTCCCATAGGGTGAGAAAAACAAAGGCAAATAATGGTGATTCTCAGGGTCTTAGCGGAACTCGATTTTGGATGGGAAGAGTTTTCAAGTTTATGTAAATAACAGAGCCTCCAAATGAGCCCTAGAGGAAGCCCTTTACTTTTAAAAGCAGAATATTAAAAAATAAAAAGGCAAAATAAGAAAGCATTATCTTTCTTGGGAAGTTGAACAGAAGGTATTTGGAGAAAATCAATAGAAAAATTAACAACAGGAACAAATTCTAACTAGAGACCATCTGAAATTGTCAGCATGCAGAAATGGGAATTTTGGTATATCTGCTTAATAAATAGGATTATTTTCATTTCTTTACCTTATGGGCTGCTGTCAGTGTATTTCTGTTTTTTTTTTTTTCCTTTTGGAGCTTTCTAATTTAAAAGAGAAGAAAGGTTTTTGCAGTCTGTAGAATATGGAAGAGCAGGAACGCAGAAACTTGCTGTTTACCCTAGTTTTACAAATAGACGTCCCAATTAATGTGCATCACCTCATAAAATTATGGCAGCAGTGAAGGTCATAAAAATATTTACAACCTCATTTCTTTCCTTGAAAGATCCTTTGGCTTATCAATCTGTATAATCTTACTTTTGATTAATTGTTAATTTTCCACTTTATGGTTTGTTATTCTGGGGTTTTTTTTTTTTTCTGTTATTGACCTTTTGACTGTTTCATAGATAATTATCACCTTCTTCAGAGAGGAGGGTGAAGGGAAACTAAATAATTTCCTACATTTATTAAGCATCCTGTTAACCCTGTCTTGGAAAAGACCTAATAAGAAAGAAGTTTAACACTACTAAAATAATGGTGTTGTTGGAAATCATTCTATAAACCAAGACATCTCAGACACCTGCAGGGCCCTGGCTGGTGAGGTAAATTAGTGTGTGGGTTTCTCAGTGGTGGACCTTCTGGAAACTGTGGGTGACACACGCTCCTCCTGAAGGGATTACAATATTTGAACTTACACAACATACCCAGTGGCTGAATTAAACCCACAGGCTGCCAGTTTCCAGTGTTTGCACCAATGTCTGCACAGGTAATAAAAAAGGTATTAGGTGTGATTTAAAAAAATGCTTATGTATTATAAAAATATTATTGCTAAGGGGCGCCTGGGTGGCTCAGTTGGTTAAGCATCCAACTCTTGGTTTCAGCTCAGGTGATGATCTTACAGCTCCTGAGATCCAGAGCCCTACTGGGCTCTGCTCTGACAGCATGACAATGCTTGGGATTCTCGCTCTCTCTCCCTCTCTCTCTCTCTCTGCCCCTCCTCTGCTCGTACTCCCTTTTTCTCAAATCAAATAAATATTAAAAGAATATATATTATTGCTGAAATGCATGATAGTTCCACTCTAGTAAACTCACATAGTTAGAAGCTCGTAGACATGAATAACACCAAACCAGGGACCCAGAGAATGCTTGAAGCATACCACGAAGTACAGAGTTAACAAGTGACCAGCTGGGACCATCTGGTTCACAACAATTTACAAAGAAGTAACTCTTTTACGTAAAACCTATCCCAAACGTAAAATAAACCGAACCCCCTGAGTGTGTTCAGAGCCTTTCCTACAGAAGTGCTCAAGAACTCTTTAATTATTAAAAATGATTTTTTAAGACAGAGCAATATGCTACAAAGGAGTTTTATTCACAATATAAGTTTCTGTGGTTTTAGAGCAGATTGTTGAAATAAAACCCAAATGATTTCATATATTTAACGAGAGGTTATTTTTGATTTGCAAGAAGTGATGTTTCCTTATGATATATACATTTAAGCTTTTATGTTGTTTTTGCTCACTTTTTTTCAGGGAAAATTTCATGGAAATCCAATGCATGTAGCCGTGGTCATTTCAAACTGCTTAAGGGAAGAGAGGAGAATATTGGCTGCAGCCAACATGCCCGTTCAGGTAATGTTTACCAAACTTGTGATCTTGTTAAACTCAATTTTTCTGAAACAGAAATTCTTATCTTCTTCCCCATCCAGCTCCTTCTACCTATGATAACGGTGCCAACCATCCTTCCAATCACTTGGAATCAAAGTCTTGGGATCATTTTTGACTAGTTCCTTGTCCCTGCCTTCATACTGAGATAATTACCTGGTCTTTCTAGAGTTTGTTTCTGGAATCCTATTTATACATTCTTTTCTGTTTCCATTGTTCACACTCTGGTTCATGATCTTCAAATACCAGTTGAGGACTATAGTTAAGTACCTCCTACTTTAATTCCTAATTACCATTTGGATTTTGCTTCCCTCAGCATATTTATCCTTAGAGATTGATATGGCTCAGAATCTTCTGTGTCTCCTGATTTCCTACCTCACAAGTCTACAACTACTCCACAAGCAAAAACTTTATCTTATAGAAACTCCACAAATACTTGCTTGTTGATTGTTTCAATGTATTTTGCCCTGCCATTTTTTAAATTCTATTTTATCACACTATCCTGAATGAATTCAGAGCCCTCAACAAAGACTAATAGAGGAAACAATGAAGCCCTTGGGAATACTTTTTCAGTTAATCTTTATACAAAAGAAAGAATAAGTAAGCAGTTTTCCAAATAACGTGCTCCATAATTTAGTAAGTCAAAGCACTATAATTATTTTTAAAGGTCCAAGAAAAGTATCTTTCTTGGAACCATTAAGAATTTTTAGATTTAGTTATGGTCAGGTTATGGTTGTTTGGGGAGAAGTATGAAATTTTAACAATTTCTTCTTTCTTAGATGAAGAAGGGCAGTATCATTTTTATTTAATTGAAAATCTAAAGTATAGTTCTGCTAAAGTAAATATAGCTTGATTCACAATTGGGTACAAATTAAGATTCTATGACTACTATTATATGATATTCTCATATATTCTCAACTCTCCTTTTCTATATCCCTCTTATCTCCAGTCATTGTAGTGTGTGTGTGTGTGTGTGTGTGTGTGTGCATGTGTATGCGTGTTTGTCTCTTCAAATGTCAGATATCAGTCAAATTAGAAGCTACAAATAATCTGCCAGTACCACATACTACCATAAAAGAAGCACTGTTGTAAATTTCAGATCTTCAAACCAATATACAAATATATGGATGGATATATGTGTGTGTGTGGGTACGTGTGTGTGTGTGTGTGGAGAGAGGGAGAGAGAGAGAGAAATGATGGAAGACAAAATCAGAGGGAATTTTATAAATATTTTCCAATCTGAAGAACGTGGTGTAGTTGAAAGAACACTTGACCTACAGCCAACTACATGGGTTCTACTTGAAGTTCCACCCCTGACTTGCTTGGTCAAGTCATCAGCCTTTCTAACCGTAGTTCCTCACCCAGCTATAAGGTAAAGGGGTTGTTCATATTCTAATTCTCATCTCTGGTTATCTATTTCATTTGATATCTAAGGAACACACTCAATTTCTTTGTATCTGAGGAACACTCAATGTTAGATTATTTGAATAGCCAAGAAATGGTGCTTGGAAAAGTTGGTTAGCACCTTTCTATTTAACTAGGCTAACATTTTCGGGTAGTCTTTAGTGAACTCCCTTTTGCTCTGGTGTGAAAGCAAATCTCATCCCAACGGATTCAACATCTCTAATTCTGGATTTAAGTCCAACTTAACGTAGTCACTATACTCATTTTAAATTATATGTATTCATTTTATAGAATTTCAAAAGTAACAATAGGTCTGTTATAGAACATTAGGGGGAAAAGTTTAAGCCATAAAATCATCTGTAACTTCAGTTATATACATTCTGATAACATTTTGGTTACCAAAACGTTCTTCCAATCATATGTACTTGAGTTCACATGTCTATACATATACCCATATATTTCTACATATGTATATATATAAGAAATAGAGATCACAAACATACGGTGTTTTTATAAATTGCTCTGTTTCTTAACAACTTAATGCTACTTTAAATGTCATTAAATATTTTTCTAAAGCATGGTTCTTAATAGTTGTAGAATGGTCCATATCATATTGATCCAAACCTCAGTTCGAAGTATGTTACATATGCTACATTTATCATAAGCTTGTTTTATCACCATCACTAAAATTTCAAGACATTCTTTTCACAGGGACCTCTGGAGAAATCCTTACAAAGTTCTTCAGTTTCAGAAAGGCAGAGGAATGTGGAGCACAAAGTAACTGCCATTAAAAATAGTGTGCAGGTGAGTGATCTCATAGAAACTTAGCCAGGTTGCCTCATACATCTAACTGCATATTTTTCGTATGTGCCCAAAGCTAATACATACAGAAGTCATAGGGTAATTTGTCAATAAGATACATATCTCTCACACACTATGTTCATAGTAGAAAAGATTTCTTTGGGGGAAGTTTTTCAACTTCAGTTTACTGGAGACCGTAGCTCCCCCCACCAAACTCTAAGCCTCTAAACCTTCACATGTGTAAATCTCTGCATCTTCATCTGTATAAGTGAGGATAACCACCACCATGGGATTGTTGTGAGGACTATAATATAAGAAAAGCCTTTAGCCCAGATCTTGGCACTTATTACCTATTATGTCTGAGCAGAAAGACATCACCAGGTTTGGAGAAAAGCAAAGTGAAATCTCGAAGCAGAAATAAACAGGAGACATAGAAGCATAGATATTTTTCTAAGAAGTAGAGAGGGAATGTAGGCTGAATTGTCATAAAGTACAGCAGATTAGAATAGAGCCTTTAAGTGAAAAGATAATCGGTACATTAATGCAGGCTATATGGAACTAAAAGGGAAAAGGTATCCATATTCTCCAATAAAAAAAGTTATTAGCAGCATCATTTGGAGCTAACTGAGAAATAAGAGGCAGGCTGCTGAGAGATTTCCAATCAGGAAGAAAAAAAGAAGAGAAAATTTTGTCTGCTTCTTCCAGTGCTGTTCAAACTTCATGGGAATTAGCTCTTTAGAAATGTAGTTGAACAAATTTGATCTAGGACATGACTAAAGCACCAAATAGTGTATTTTGAAATACTGATGATGATGTTTCCCTGGCATGCTTAAATGTAACAACAGGGTATGTTTTCTTTTGTAAAAAGATGACAGAACAAGACACCAAGTATTTAGAAGACCTGCAAGATGAATTTGACTACAGGTATAAAACAATTCAGACAATGGGTAAGTTTTTATTTTGTCTATAATTCTACCCAGGGACATAAATACAACATGACTAGGATTTCCTCTTTAGTGACAAAATTGATAAATTGATCTACTTCCCTAAGTTAAGTGCTTTGGTGTTTGAAAAGAGAGTGCAGGAAAGTATTTTGCTTCCTCTTCTCTCTCTCTTTCTATATATATATATTTTTTATTTTATTTTATTTTATTTTATTTTTTATCAACCAATGCAAAGTAAATTATACAGCTCATGAGAAGTCAGAATCAAAATATCATTATCACAACTAAGAAAAATAATAAATTCCCTAGCATGATCAGGAAATTGTTAATGTCATCCCTAGGTGGGTTTTTTAAATAGAATTTCTTAAGTTGTACATAGAAATGTAGGGTGGCTTAGTCAATACAGTGTGAGACTCTTGACCTCCGGGTCGTGGATCCAAGCTCCGCATATGGCCTCCTTTAAAAAAATAGTTTTTAATTGAAAGTATAAATGTGATTCACTGTAGGAAAGTTGGGAGGTAGACAAAAGCATTAAAAAATTAAAAATCATACAAAATTCCACTATCTATAGATAAACAATGTCAAAATTTTAGTACATTTCCTTCCAGCCTCTTCCCTATATATTAAAATACGTATCTATTTATCTGAAAAAGACTTGAGATAATCCTTTACATAGTTTTGTGTATTGCATTTTAAACTAAAGATTTAATTTAAATATCTTCCCAAATCATAAAAAATCTTTGAAGACATAATTTCAGTACTTGTATGAATGTCAAAATATAAGGACACTGCAATTATTTGATTATCTCTTTGTGATTAAACATTGAGTTTGTTTGCAATTAGATGTTGTTTAAAAAGTGGAAAGGGAAAAAAGCAATGAAAGAATGAGAATCTTTATAAGGTCTAAAATTTACAAGTAACAATGGATTGATCATTTGAAGTATGCTGCTCTTAGTGGGACAATGGGAGAAATTCCATTTAGGTCTAGATGAGTTAATAGGATGTACCAATCAATTTGCTGGCTCTGGTAATTGTACTACACTTACGTAAGATATTAGAGGGATCTGGATAAAGAACGAATGGAAACTCTGTGCTATTGTTGCAACTCTTTTGTAATTCTGAAGTTGTTTTCAAATAATTTTTAAAAACAAATCAGATAAAAATCTCTTCTTTACGGAAGCATTTTTAACTACTGAGATGTTAGCTTAAAATTTATCTGGAAAGAACTATGGATGACTGTGACCAAAAGCAGTCACTGGAATTTATGGATGACTGTGACCTTAACTTTCATCTAAGATTTAAAAGCAAAGATATTCAGATAGGAATCATGTTTGGCATAGGTGAGGCGTGACGTGTTCTCCTGGCATCTTCAGAATGTGTTGGCGCCTATGAGATGATATTTAAAATAGTTATAGTTACTTATATGTATAATTTTTCCCTTCAGAAAATATGGCACAAACATGGGTTTCATCAGATTATTAAAGGGGTCCACGAACCTAAAAAAGTTTAAAACTGTAAATTTAATTAAGCATTACAGTCCATTGAATGCAGTCTCATCCCAAATCTCATATGGGAACCACCAATTTAAGAAGTAGAATGTAGGGACATCTGGGTGGCTCAATCAGTAGAGCATGTAACTGTTGATGTCAGGATCATGAGTTCAAGCCCCATGCTGGGCATGGAGCCTACTTAATTTTATAAAAAATTTGTTAAAAAAAGAAGTAGAATGTAACAAAATACATTAAATGATAGAATTGTTTTGAATTTAACATATTACAATTAGAGTTACATTGATATTATAGGTGTTTCATGAGCATTACGAAGAATAAAATTGATCATTCTATCACTTAAATCAACAATTTTGTTGACTATAGTGAAATAAAATGTTTTTTTTAATGTTTATTTTTGAGAGAGAGACAGAGAAAGAGAGAGAAAGAGAGAGAGAGAGACAGAGTACAGGCAGGGGAAGGGCAGAGAGGGAGACACAGAATCCAAAGCAGGCTCCAGGCTCCAAGCTGTCAGCACAGAGCCCCACATGGGATTTGAACTCACAAAGCACAAGATCATGACTGAGCTGAAGTCAGACCCTTAACCGATTGAGCCACCCATGAACCCTGTGAAAATGAAATGAAAGACACATGGGAGACAAGTTACATCTTGCTGGTCAAGACTGAAAAGTATTAGCTAATGAAGTTTTGAGTTAATAAAATGCTGTGGAAGCAAACTTTTTCTACATTTGGGATCTAAGAGTTAGTGAATTTGTGAATACAACCAAAAAATTATTTCCTGGGAGTCAGTACTATTTTGTAGAGAAATTGGGCCTATGTTGTGTGGGGGCCCCTTTTTTTTTTTTACAATCACACAGGTCAGATTGGCATTTCCACCCTTCACTTTTTATAAATAAGAGTGGTGGGTATAAATAATCACTTGCTATATACCCATAGTTTAATGTTCGAGTTAAATAATACAATGTTTATTACATCTCCCATTTAAAAGGATAAACCATCCTGAGTTTTTTCAGTCTGAGATTTTTCTTACTTTTTGTAACTCTTTCCTACTTCTAGTTTTACTGTGAGGCAAGTCCATTCTGCAAAGGAAAAACAAAAGAAAGCAAAAGATTTCATCTTTATTAGTTCATGAGGCTAAGTGGATAAAACTGCAACTCTTCAGGCAGTTTTCTATAATTCCTGGGTATCAAGTAGGGTGGGGCAAATGGGTAAAGGCATCAGGAGGAGTCAGATATGATTAATGGGCACAAAGACAGTCCCCTTTCTTTACTACGCCAACCAGGTAGGGCTATTATCAATGTAGAGGTATCTTAAAAAGAAATACATTTCAAAAACTTTTCTACCTCTCTCTCTGTCCCAAAAAGGAACATGGTGTGAAGAATCGTCTTCAGTCAAGGTCTGTAAGATAGAGAGTTCCTCACTGGCTTGCTTGGTGGTGACCCTTCCTGGCAAATAGGGACTTACTTTCATGCTCATCTCTAACGGTCACACTAGGCTCCTATATCTTGAGACTTGAGGATGGAAATTGCAGCAGACTTGGCTTTCAGGACAGAGGGCTTTGCCTTGGAGTGGACTCCACATCTCATCTCTTTTCCTTCACAGATCAGGGGGACAAGAACAATGCCCTAATGAATCAGGAAGTTTTGACGCTGCAAGAAATGCTTAACAGTCTCGACTTCAAGAGAAAGGTTAGCAAACTTTAATTTGGCCTTTTGCCTGTTTTTCTCCCTTTCCCATATCTGGTCCTACTGAAAAGAATCACGCTCTTGAATTCCTTCAGTCCTATTTAGGCTGAATAGTAAATGGCAGCGTTTCTAGGGAGAGTGCTTCTCTTGCTAAGTGTACAAAGCTGGACCTCTCTTGAGTTTATTTGTCTTGCTTATGCTGCACATTTACTCTAGCCACCATTAATTTCAAGGTGAATGTTTCACCCAATTTTTATTTGCCGCTATTTCAGACATGACTGTTTCAGTTTCTGTACTTAATATGCTGCTATGGGTTCTGCTACACACGTATAATTAAAATATTACTTGATGACTACTAAAATTTCAATAGAAAAATCAATGCTCCAGTTTCTACTCTGAAAAATGACCTCATGCTAAGTAATTTCTTAGATTTCAGGATAGTTCATTGACAACTGAACATATTCAATCTAACCTCCTTTCAAGGAGAGGAAGAACTTTTTTCTGGCTCAGTGAATTATTTTAAAAAGAGGGGAAACATTTCTATTACAACTTTCTATCTCTCCTTGAAAATAAGTGCGTTTAAACCTGAGCAGTTACTGATAAATCAAGAGTTTATTTCTAAAAGTTAGGTTTCATTTTTTTGTACAGGAATTTGTGTGAGCACAAATAAATGTAAAATTTAGTTTCACCCTATATTATAAACTTATAATATATCTAACTTTAACAGTTAGATATCAGATTTTAAACATCAAACATTTAATCCAAGATAAGCTTAATGCTTTCATGAATAATAAATCTATGTTGTATGTTTTATGCATGCCATCTTATTCTACTTTAAAAATAAAATTTTAGGACAGAAGGAACCTTGGAAATAATTCCATCCATTCACCTGATTGTATAGATCAAAATATAAAGTTCCAACAAATTAAGTGACTTATCCAAATTCACATAGCTTGTCACAGAACCAGGATAGGAATTTGCAATTTCTAATTCCCAGGCCTTTGAAAGGTATACTTCTCCCTAAACCCAGATAAAGTCCTAGTGAAAACTAACACAGAAAATCTCCAATTTTAGTCATTACACTTAAAAATAAATGCATAAACATATTTATAAGAATATAAATTTAATCTACGTCTTTTTAAATAACAGGGATACGGCTGTGTGACTAGAAGATTCAATATTGTCACAGGAAGTACAAACTCAATATATTTATACTAAATGACTTTACATTATGAGATTGTTAACTGTGGTCGTGCTTCTTTCTTCATGATGTTATTTAATTGTGATAATTTAAGTGTTGAAAGGCAGTGCTATGATAACGAGAAGGTAGTATTTGATAAAGTATTTAGTGAGAATTGTAACCAAGCCTGTATCTTCCAGGTCAGAGAAATTGTTTTCCAGGTTGAATTGAGTGACTTTGGTTGTGTCTCCTCAAAATCGTTTCAGTAGCCACCTTTGCTTTTAGGAAGTCCTCAGTAAAATGACACAAATAGTCAATGAAACGGACTTGTTAATGAACAGCATGCTGATGGAAGAGCTGCAGGACTGGAAGAGGCGCCAGCAGATTGCCTGCATTGGAGGGCCGCTCCACAATGGGCTCGACCAGCTTCAAAACTGGTAAAACAAATTGACTTTAGTTTCTAGTGAAAACCACAGGAAGTACAAAGCTTCAGTGTAGCTGAGCCAGAGGTGTATATGTGTTTTTTTCTTTTTTTTTTGTTTTTTTTTTTTTAATGTTTATTTATTTTTGAGAAAGAGGCAGTGTGGGAGCGGGGAAGGGGCAGAAAGAGAGAGATGGAGACACAGAATGTGAAGCAGGCTTCAGGCTCTGAGCTGTCATCACAGAGCCTGATGCAGGGCTCAGACTCACAGACCATGAGATCATGACCTGAGCCAAAGTTGGACACTTAACTGACTGAGTCACCCAAGCACCCCTACGTGCTTTTAATTTTATTCCTTTGGAATGAAAAATAAAGCATCAATAGAAGTCTATAGAATGCATAAGAATTGCTTACTTTTCTCATCTAATATATTAATCTTAAAAGACTCAAGTGAATTTTTGAAACCTGCAAAAAATACAGCTTTCTCTAAGGACAAAAGAAGCACTAACTTCAAAAGCTTGAAAAACGATATCCTAGTTTTTAAAGGGGCATCTTAAGAACGCAAAGTTCCACATTAGTTTTGTGTTTTCCATAGTGATTTATTTTTGTATTTAAATGAAAAATCTCAAATGGCTAATACAACAGGCCATCCCCTACCATATGCATAGGCAATCATATGCAGATATCCTTTGCATTCGAAGAAAAATGTTGATAGGGCTTTCTTCTCCATCAGTGCCACATAAAATTATCTGTTCAAATGAGCACTTAGAAAAAATAATTAAAAAGAAGGAAAATGTTCAGCTGAGATCTAAAATTGCTTTCAAAGGGTACAGTGCAATACAACAGAAATATGGCATAACTGGGGCCACTTGCACTAAAAGCTCCACCCCGCCAGGCCCACTTCTCAAGAAGAGTAAGGAATTGGGCTCTTTTTAAAACAGACTGATTTTCCTCACTGTCATCCCTTGTTTTGAAAACAAGATAAACAACAAAGGAAGCGATCAAGAACTTAGCAGATAACCATGCTTATACCAAATTCTGTGGGGGATTGACCGGATCTTTTCACAGCTCTCTGTGGGGAATAAACTTCTAAGTAGAAAGAACTGCTGTCAGGGCCAGAAGGATTTAGCAAGTCTGTCCAGACGTCCTGACTACTCGGGAGTTGACAGTCCCTTCAGTGTCGCCTTCAGCCTCTCTTCCCTAAACTTCAGGCCCAAGCACCCACCTCCATTTCTGAGGTGAGGTCACCACATAGTGAATAACTCTAAATGCATACCTTTCTCCAGATAGATACGCTGATAATTTTTGGCTAATACTTGGGATTTGTAATACATATTGCGGTAGGGAAGGCAGTTCAATTCATACTGTCGTTTTTCTTTAGTATTCTTACACATAACACTCTTCATATCATGTATTTTTAAAGTTTTAAATTTGTTCTGTCTCTACCCATTAGTGAGTACCATAGCCTTAGCATATGTATGTTTAACAGATTTGTAAACAAAGAAAAATTAAAAGAGATTTGGCTCCAGATGTTGACAAAATTTTGTAAATGATGTCTATAACTACAGGTATAAATGAGAAAACGTTAAAAACATTTCCCATGCATGATACACCTTAGAGGAAAAACCGACTCAGGAAATAAACATAAAGAACTGTCACTAACTTTTAATGCAATTAAGTAAATGATTGTACTAATTGAGTAATTATTTAATAATTTGTTATTTGCTAATGTGGTTAAGAGTTAAAATGGTAGATTGTTAAGTGGGTAAACTATCTGCTGATTTTCATTTGTTGTTCAATAGTTTTACACTATTAGCAGAAAGTCTATTCCAACTCAGAAGGCAATTGGAGAAATTAGAGGAGCAGTCTACTAAAATGACATATGAAGGGGATCCCATCCCCATGCAAAGAGCACATCTGCTAGAAAGAGTCACCTTCTTGATCTACAACCTTTTTAAGAAGTAAGTAAAGTATTATTCATCTAAATGCCTCATGGCAGCCTCCGAGTTGTGGGGTTGTAAGGACACCCTGGCTGGAGTTTTAGTGTTAAGGTGAGGGAGGATAGGCAAGTGTTAAACAGTGAGCCTCAGACACTATTACAGAAAGGTAATAAAGCTCCAGAATATTCCAGAAGGATTTCTGCTCTTCACTATTCAACACTTCTCTCAAGAACTGACTCAGTTTTCCATGAGCCAAACACATCATCCAGCTGAAGTTTATTTTTTACATTTTAGAAAAGAAGATTTAAATGATTTCTTCTTAAGTACATATCCAAGAAATGAAGGATAGAGACCACATTTATGTGCATTATTAGCTCATCTAAAGAAAAAAATTCTAATATCCAGAAATTCTAATATCCACTTCAGAGATGTCATGAAATTAACTTTTTACTTCATGTTTAGTATGATAAAAATAGACTTTTGTTCTTGACTCAGGTATAACAATGAAGAATTATTTACCATGGTGATTTAGGGACCATCTTTAGGCATTTTTTCCATCTCCTGGTAATTATTTATGAGAAATCTTTGGAAAGATTTGAACTTAATGGACATTTGAATGTCTTCTAAGTGTAGAAAATTTGGATCTTTTAAGAGGACAGCATCCTGTTTCTCTGTGGTTTTCAGCCTGTCAGTATTTTCAATGTTTTCAAGATGTGCTTTATTTCCTTTTAATCTAGCTCATTTGTGGTTGAACGACAGCCATGCATGCCAACCCACCCTCAGAGACCGATGGTACTTAAAACTCTCATTCAGTTCACTGTAAAGCTAAGGTAGGCAGAATGTGCCCTATCATTTCATTTGTTTGTGGAGCCACAGCCACTGCATTAATTACTACCAGTTTCTCTCATAGTGCCTTTCATTCACTCTTCTTTATTAAACACCTCCAGCATGCCCAGCACTGAGCTTTGGTAGACACCCTCAGAGATGTTAATATTCAGCTTGTAAAGAAGATGACAATAAAGATGAAGGCATGAGGGATATTAGCACGACAGCATGGAATCATGGGATTAATGGCTGAAAAGGGTTGACTTGGGAGAGGCTAGCAAAGACTTGTGGTCCCTCTGAGGAAGGACCTTGCAGGAAGAGCAGGGACGGGAAGGAGAGTGGGATTATACAAGAGCCAGATGACAGAAATATTGACTTTCTGGGTCTGTTTTGCAAGCATGTGACGCAGGGAGAGGTAGAATTGAGCAGATTGAGGACAGAATATGGAAGGCTTTGAATATTTACCCATGAAATATGATGGCACCTTCTTCCTCTGTGATTGCCCAGCAACTAGTTTATAGGATTTTCCACGAAAACTCTCAATGCTGTAATTTTCAGTATATCCTTACTATGTACCTGATCTAAAGACGTATGACTTTTGTGTTATTGTTGTTGCTTTGTCTGTACATTTGATCCTTTCCATTAGCATGAGAAACTAAGACGTATCAGTTTCCCAAATGACAGTTAAAATAATGAATTTGAGCTCAAAGTGCCAAAAGATTTTCATCATGCATTAATCTCCAGGTCCCCCAAGCTTTTTATTCCTAATCGCTAAGCACCCCTGACTAGTATATGAGAGGTGATGATGCCATGGTAGATGGTGATTTAGGGCCCCACCATAGGGTCCCTGATCACACATCACTATTGGAACTTTATTTTTATTTTATTTTGTTTTGTTTCATTTTATTCATTTCAGATTTATTGAGATGTAATTGGCATGTAATGTTATGGAAGTTTAAGGTGTACAGTGTAACAACTTGTCTTACATAAGCTGCAAAATGATACTACAATAAGTTTAGTTAACATCTATCACCCCAGAACTCTATTTTTAAAGGGAAGGCATTTTTCTTCAGTTTGCATTTTAAAAACCTGACTTGAAATTCTTAGTCATTTCCTTTGTGTGAATTTTGCAGTAAGACTTAAGAACCAAGAACAAAAGGCAGAGGCCAGGTTCCCTTTCAAATTTTCATGATTTTCAAAAGTTATCCATTCATTCTTCATCCCTACATTTCTTTATAACCCAGAAGATAGTAACACTAAAGGGAAATAGGATACACTAAAAGGAAATAGGGGTGGTGGACATCCTACTTTTCCCTGAGACACCTCCAGAGATAGCATAAGTCTAAAATGCTCTCCGGGACAAAAAGGGAGATGAGTAGGAAATGCTTTCAGCCAAGAGTTCAGAGTAGAAGAGGCCCCTGAATGGGCATCACCTTGCATGTTGTTTGAACTGATTGCCAGGAACTCAGACCATTAGCCCCTGATTGGAGTGTTCCTGCTTTCCTCTTCCACCTGACTGTTGGTTCCTATCCTTCCCTGTACCCTGTTCTCCACTGTCTTGATAGATGATCCTTTACTTAGTATTCAAGACTTTCCCTAAAACCCCTCCCTCCCATAGCATTCCAGCCTCTTATTTCAAGATGAGCCATGACGTGTGATTCCCTTTAGTCATCAGCATCTTAACAGTGGATCAGGTCCTTCCTGAGGTATGATAGAGAGGAAGGTAGAGAGGGAAAACTTGCTGCCCTAATTCATATGACCTCCTCACCCTTCACTACTAACAACTACATACTTATCATATTCCAAACCCTAACACCAAACCTGTGTTTCATACAGGATTTTTAAGGAGCCTTTGTCATATTCTACCCACACTTTTGTTTGGGCTGTCTATCATCTATGATTATATTTCTCTAATGCCAATCACTGCTCATCTCCGTTCTCCATATTTCCATCTTTTATATTTAGCTGGACTTCTTCCTTTTATACGTAGCCACGTCCACATTTCTAGGGCTGTCCTGGGTATACAGGAGGAGCTCAAAACATGCTGAGTAAATGAATGAGTTTTGGGATGAATGCATGATTGGGATGAGTGAGTGGTGATTGAATTAATATCTCTGAAACTGGACTGAACCCACAGAAAGGGTATATTAGAGGTCACGACTCAAAAGAGTTGAGAAAAGCAAAAGAATAAGAAGGATCTGACACCAGAACAGGAAATTAAAGGAATTCTTACTCTGATCTTTAATCACTTGTTTGTTTGGAATTCAAGCTTTTTAAGTTATGAACATTTTTACTGTTACTTACATAGTGTATTTAAATATTGCAAATACATTTGAATTGGAATTTTTCAGATTCCACCAGAGACCTGGTTTTTTTCAGACGTTTTACCATAAAACAGTAATCATTGAAACATTTGGTTTTTACTAAGCTTATAATTTTTTTTATGATATGGGAATAAAATGGAGCCATACTGATACACTTGAAAAGAAGTTTTTCTTATGTTTAGACACTTAACCCAAATTTGGGCTTTAGCCAAAATATATGACTGTTTTTCTGACTTAGCCAATGTATTATCCAACATACATCAACTGAAGCAATATGGAAATACATTCCAAATGTTTGTTAATACATATGAAGTGGCTGGTGTCAATATTAGTAACATGACAAACTAAAGAGGAATTGGACATTTTTATTTTTATTTATTTTTACTTTGTTTTAATTATAATATCATTAACCTACAATGTTATATTAGTTTCATATGTACAATATAGTGATTCAACAATGAATCATGCTAACATAACTCAAGATAACCTAAATTCAATTTATATGTATAGAACATAAATATATTTAAATATTTAAATATTAAAAGGCTGAGGCACCTGGGTGGCTCAGTCAGTTGGGCAGCCAACTTCAGCTCAGGTCATGATCTCACAGTTTGTGGGTTCGAGCCCCACATCGGGCTCTGTGCTGACAGCTAGCTCAGAGCTTGGAGCCTGTTTCAGATTCTGTGTCTCCTTCTCTCTCTGACCCTCTCCTGTTCATGCTGTCTCTCTCTCTCTCTCAGAAATAAATAAAAAACATTTTAAAAATTAAAAATAAATAAATAAATATAAAAAGGCTTTTAGCACTTTTAATTTTTGGCTCTGATTCTTATTTGTCTTTCCAGACTGCTAATAAAATTGCCAGAACTAAACTATCAAGTAAAGGTGAAAGCATCTATTGACAAGTAAGTTTCTAATTTCACTTTGAAACATGAAATTGTGAGACTTTGTAAAAAGAACTCTCCTCATTAGAATAATTTCAAACTTTTAAATGTATTTCTCTAACATTACTTATCAGTGTACTTCAAATATTTGACTTTGAAGTTCAAACAGTTAATAGAACTCCAATGAACACTTACTTTAAAAAATTTTACTATAAAGTCTTGAAATGAAAATTTATGACTATATTATACTATCCTCTAAAGTATCAAAGAAAGTTCATACTAGATCTATAAAATAGCTCATTTTAAGGAATCTTCTTGATTTTACAGGAATGTTTCAACTCTAAGGTATGAAATTTATTTTATCCCGTTTTTGCTGTTTCCATAAATGTATTTTACCTGAAACCATGTAAATAGCTAAGATTTTCTCTCTAGCAATCGAAGATTTGTCCTTTGTGGAACTCATGTCAAAGCCATGTCTATTGAAGAATCTTCTAACGGAAGTCTCTCAGTAGAATTTCGACATTTGGTGAGTTCAACAGTAAAGTTACACAAGCTTCTCACCCTCCCCAAATCAGACATATCCTTAAGAATAGGCCGTATAATTCAATGTATTTTGGTTTCTGGCATTTCTTATGTGAGATTAAGGGCCATACTGAGAAATAAAACATGCCATTATTGAAGAATTAAAAATTAGAAAGAAACTGGAACTTTAACTCAGAAGTCCAAGTTCTCAAAAATGGTGAGATAGTACCTATGTATATACAGCAATCGGTCAATATAGTTTGGACATGATAACAGAGATAATTGGTCTTGTAATGGATAGGCATTTCTGGTTTCATTTTTTGACTCTCCCCAATAAATGATATCCAGCAACATGTCTGGCTAAAAGTGCTTTCATTTTCGGAGTAGCCTGGGGGGAGGTAGGATGTTCCTGGGTCTGACGGTTGCACAAGGTTTGCCTTGGCATGTCTAGAAAGCTTCTGACCCAGCCTCACCCTGCTGCTTTTTGTTCATACCACTTCCTCTTAACCTATAGTTCTCTTCCTGCTTTCTTTCTAATTCTTTGTATAGTTCTTAGATTCCCAAAGACTCTACTGCTTTTCCTGCCAGATGCATGCTGCTCGTGGTTTATTAGCACTCAGAAAGGACCTCACCCAAATGTTGGGGCACCACTGAGTCAGCCTCAAAGGGTCTAGTTTCTAAAAGATAAAAGATAAAATTTAGATTAATAGATATCTGCATATACAAATTTATGCTGGTTTTTTTTTTTTTGGTCTATAGTATTAAAGAGTACATTTCTTTTTCACTGAATCCCTCCAGTGTGAGACTGATCAATAAATAAAATGTAATAAAGAGTCATGTATTTTACATCTTTATAACTAACACTCTTTTCATGTAGGTTCAATTCCTATCCTTAAGAAATTTTCAGTAATGGACAACTTTGCTAATAAATAAAGCTGTAAAAGACCATTAACTTAGAAATGTCTAGGGGCACCTGGGTGCCTCAGTTGGTTAAGTGTCCAACTTCAGCTCAGGTTATGATCTTTCAGTCAGTGAGTTCCAGCCCCTCAGCAAGCTCTGTGCTAACAGCTCAGAGTCTGGAGCCTGCTTCAAATTCTGTCTCTCTCTCTCTCTGCCCCTCACCTGCTCATGCTCTGTCTCTCTCTCAAAAAAATAAACATTAAAAAAAAAACCTTAGAGATGTCTATCTCTCAAAAAAAGTCATGTGGAAAGGATAAGGAATATACCAAAAAGAGGTTAAGTCTTTATTCCAGCAGTTGTAATATATAAAATAAGAAAATCTTAGTTTTTACAGTGCTCTTCTGGCTACAAAGCATTTATATATACCCATTACACACACACACACACACACACACACACATATTATCTTTTGCATAATAACATTTTTAAAAATTATTTTTGAGAGTGGGGGGGAGGGGCAGAGAGAGGGGTACAGAGGATCTGAAAAGGGCTCTGTGTCCACAGCAGCGAACCCAATGAGGGACTTGAATTCACAAACTGTGAGATCATGACCTGAGCCTAAGTCGGACACTCAACCAACTGAGCCACTCAGGCACCCTGCATAATAATTTGAATTGCTTTTTAATACAAAATTAAATGTAGGAAACCAGAGGCAAAAATTTTTTAATTAAAAATCACCTATAATCTCACTACCTTATAACACTATTAACATCTTTACTTTTGTTTTCATTCTTTTATAATTTTTGTGTATGTGCTTTTTAAGTGAGATCAGACTATATACACTATGTAAATCATTGTCTGCCTTTTTAAAAATGAAGTCATCTAGATCGTGAACATTTTTGTGTCCCTGAGTCTCTAACGCCATGTAGTAGCTTACTGTGCCCGTGGCACACAACCCCCCTACCCCCACGTTTGTTTCTTTTCCTCTGTCTTGGACCTGGTTTCTCAGGGATTGAGAACCATCGCAGCTTAGCTCAGGGGATACCTTCCAGGTACAAAGGAGTGCTGAGTAGATTTTAAAACATCCCAGCGTGATTTCTTCTTTCTGAAATGTGGACTGAAAATCATAGTCTTCACAGTATGCCAACTTCCTCACTTCCCTCAGTGAAAGTTTCTAAAATGACATTCCATGAGATGAAACCGGAAGGTTCTTTCTGTTGAATCTGGGCACCTGTGTCAGGTTTCCACAATTAGAAGACATCTGGGTTACCGTTCTAGAAGGCAAAATTGCGGTCCAGAAAATCACTCTGATAGGTATGACCGACTTGATATTTAACTGATAATGCTGTTATTCTTTTTTTACAAAGCAACCAAAGGAAATGAAGTCCAGTGCTGGAAGCAAAGGAAATGAGGTATAAAATGATTTCTACAAGATAATTATTTTTAGGAAATAACTCTATCTTATTTTTACAAAGCTCTTAAGCTGCCCTTTATAGTTTTATGTAAAATCAAATTCATGTTTCTCCGGTTACAAATGTAAAACTTGGTAAGTGCAGACAGTCTAAAAATTTTTGTCTTAAAGAGGAGAAAATAGAAATTGCATATAATAACACCCTTTTAAAAGAAAAACTTAACATTTTAGTTCACATCATTCCAGACCTTTATCTATGTGTATATCACTTTACAAAATATATACACATTGTTTCATAACCCGCTTTTTTCCCACGTGACAGTGTAAGGTGAACAGCTTTCCATAACCTTAAATACTCTTAGAGAACATCACTTAAAGTGCCCGCACTGAATTGTATTTCACAGGTGTGCCATAATTTCTTTAGTCATCTTCCATTATTATAAAACATCCTAAAATCACTTCTTTTCCACAGATGAGAGGTAAGTCTCAAACCTTCGTGACATAGTATATGATAATCAGACATGGAAAACGGTCCTGTTACTTTATGGTATCAGTTACCTTGCCTTATATTTAAGGTGTTCCACTGGATGAAATTAATTAACAGAACAAACTAATGCGGTCCCAGTGTTTGCCTCTGAGTCAGTAAATAATAGAGTGGGCAAATCCTGGGTTGGAAATAGCCTTGGGGATCATCTGTTTCGTTGGACTAGGTGCTAGGACACACATCTGTGCCTTACATATTTGTAAGTAGAAAATCTGGGTTTGAGTGTCTTCTGGCCATGACTGAAAATGTGATCCTTGGCAAATGATCTGATAGAGAAAATGTTTTCCTCTTACAGATCAGGGAATAATGCCCAACGTTCTCTGTTCAGAGATGCTGCATATGCAAGATCATCTATACAATGCAGTTATAAAGTAGTGAGGCTTATCTCTGGTGTGGTTGATATGGATTCAATCTCCTGGCTTTACAGTCACAGCTTCTATGAGAAATCTCTTTGAATTATTTGTAAGGATAAAGGCACTTTATAAAATCCAACTTTCAACTGCAATCAGTCTAGCCCTCCCCACAAAACCACAGTGACTGACCACAGCAGGTTTAATACTCTACATTTTTCTCTTCCAAAAATTTTTCATTCTCTTAATTGTGTCTTAGAGAGCATTTGTCCAGTACTACAGCCACGCCAAAGATGAACTAAACCTTCCTCCCAGGGTAGAGTCTGGTCTCAGGACAGAGCTACAAACGGATGTCTACTGCCCAGATATCACAGGAGCAGAGCTTTTGAGTTTAAGAATATTCTAGTAAACAGATAAGCAGAGTTATTGTTCCCACCTTGTAGAAATCCATAAGCATTTTCTAAACTTCCTAATTGACACATTAGCACATTATAAATAAAAAGCCATTTCACACATCTCACTGGAATTCTGGACAGGGTTGCAAACATTTCAAGCAGCATAACATCTCTGAATACTACTTGCTAAGTCTGAATAGACAAAACACAATGCTTCTTAACCTTTCTAAAGTAAAACAAATCAAATGGAAATAATCTAAATAGTCAACTCTCCAATACATTGTCATCTTTATAAATGTAAAATCAAAATCTTTACTCAGCTTTCCCTAGAGAAGTCTAAGTAAATCATCTTCTACTATATAATAGCCAAGCAATGTCTTATTAACACTGTCTACTTATATTACTTTGAATGTATTTATTTCCTCTTGTTTTCTGATTAATCATACAGTCATGTCAGAATGATTTTATTCTTCCTTTTTTCCCCCTCAAGTTTGCTAGATCAAAAAACATTTTATTTTATGCTATTCCTTGAGCTCCCCCTGTTGATAGAATTGTAATATGACTCCTAGGTATATTTAAAATAAATCATAGACCTGAAAGTTGTTTTATGTACTACAGGAATAACTGAGAAGTCACAAAATATATGAAGTGGGCTCAGAAAGATAAGCAAAAAAAAAAAAAAAAAATCAAGGGGTTGGCCAGGCAGTAGGACTGATCAAAAAAAGTCAGGAAAGGGCCTAGGGAATATCTAATGATAAAATGGAGTCCATAAAGTCATAGTGCCAAAGATTGTAGTAATCAAAATATCAGGAAAACAGGAAGGTAGGATATTATACCTCATTTTCAAATTTCAAATAGTAGTTGTTCCTTATCTGTGAACACCTGCAGCAGTTCGCAGCCTGATAAGAATTTATTTGATAAATCTCCCTGTGGCATTTACTATATACTGGGCGCTGAGAGCTTCACTGACATTGATTTATGTAATTCTTGCAGAGGACCATGAAGTAGATTCTATTAGTGTACTTATTTTAGTTAGGGAAACTGAGGCACAGAATGTCAGGCCAAGATTCAAAACACAGCTCTCCATGCTCTTGGCCACTAGGCCATGCTGCCTCTGGGATCAGAAGACCCGCCCCAGGAGAAGCGCTGTTGGTTGGCACTGAACTTTGCCTTCCTCCTGCCACTAATCTCACCATGCTCCCTCCGTTTGCTGGGATTCCAATACGGGAGATCTTGGCAGGTATGTGAGGAGCGTCTCATCCATTCGCCTCTACTCCAGCCGCTGCCGTTACCGTTCTCACTGTACCCACCCAGGCAGAAATCACATAGCTACCTCACACCAGAATCCTCATAAAGTTTAGAAGAAATTTAAAAGAATGCTTTCTCAGAAAATGTTGTTTTTGATCCCCCTTTATGTTTAACGTGCATCAGTGAGGGAATGGGAAATAGCACCATGCTGGGGTCTGCCTCTTAGAGGCAACTGATCTGGCACAAGCCACTGATCCTCACTAATTACCAATTCCTAATCTGTAAAATGGGCATCATGTTGATCTGCACTTATAGGGTTGTTAAGAGGAACAAATGGCATGGTCCAATGTGATGTGCTGTGCGCATAGACGTCCGCTATGGGGCTTTTCCTGACCAGCCCTCCAGGCTCTCCCTTTGTAAAGAACAGGCATTTACACAAGTGAAAGATGACACCTGACTTAGGACAAACCACCGATCCTTATTCTTCTCTGCCCATCTGCCAAAGTGCTTGGCTGGAGATGTTCCCTTTCTAGGGCCCCTGAGCACATCCCTCTCTGGCTCCAGGTCCCTGAAACCTCAAAGGACCACATATGTGTGCCATCTTTATAGGATCACATGTCTCAGGTTCCTACTACCACCCCAAATGTCCCCACCGCCTGTCTGATAGGCGTGCGTGCACACACACACACACACACACACAGAGCCCCTCAGTTTTGTTTTTGTGGTTGTCAGAACTTCGGCTGTATACTTATTGATTGAGAACAAACCAAGATGTCATGAATGGTAGTTTCCCCAGGGGCGCCACTCCAAACCTCCCTAGCACCCCATGGCTGTTTGACTCATATCCAAAAAGAGGCAGTCAGGATGTTCAGGGGTTCTGGCTATAGGATTGGATGAAGGGAGGAAGTTGCATTAGACCCATACTGCCCCAGAAGGACCAAAGAGGTGCTTTAGAAGTCACCTCTGGATTTGGGGGTGGGGTGATGAAAGGTGGAGCTCTGGGTCCCCCACCCCAGCTTCAGTCAAGATAGCTCTGTTTTATATATTTTACAGATTGGAACCCAGATGGGAAATTTCTTTTCAAGAATGTGTTTCAAGGTTAAAAAACATTTGAAAACCATTGGATTTAGACAATTTCTGAAGCTTTTTTTGACTAAGGTTCTATAATCTGCAAAAGTGCAACATAGGGTACAAGCTTTACTTTTTTGAAAAAATGAATTTAATTTTAATAATTTGCTTTGGAATTTCACAACATCTTTTGGAAAATTTGTAGACATGCTGTCACAAAATCAAGGTTAACAATTACTCCTCCTTTCTCTCACCTTTGTTCTTTTCCTTGGAAGAACCATTGTGAAGAAACAATTTCATCACCTACCAGTGGCCAAACTCGGAAGAAATCAGTTCGTCCCTATAAAATAAACATTCCCAGGAAGCAGCCTTTCCCATAGGTCCTTATCTGGCAAAAAACTGACTAGAGAGTGATTGTTGAAATGTGGAAACTGTTCGAACAGGAAAGCTGGAATTGTAGTCTCTCGAGTTTGCTCTTTGTCGGTAGGCTTTAACTGATAAATGACAGTTTTAGCCTCAGACTGAGGTGTTGGGTAATTTTGTTTATGTGATGGAAAGTCATGAAGCACAAAGAAGCTATTAGTAAAGCCTGGGTGACTTGAGTTTCATTGAACAGAACAGTCAAACAGATGTTCTTTCAAGGTTCAGTGTTTTCAGACACAGATCCACTACTCACACGCGAACTAGCCCACACATTGTCACAGGAAGTTGATTTCCTTCTGAACAATTTAAGAAGTTGCAACACTTTGAAAAGAGACGTCCATACAAGGATAACATTAAAAGGTAAACTTTTGATGTGACACCCTGCACACAGTCCCCTTATTTTACAGGCTGAGAATTAGTTGTCATTTTCCATCCATTTCCTCTGATTCTGTGATTGAGGTCTCTATCTCCTGTGATTGTACCATCATTTCCCCTTTTATCATTGTTTCCGAGCATCAAAGCCAATGTCTGGCACATGATAGGTAGTCAACAAATATACTCTAGGTGAATGGATTGTTGTTTTCTATTCCACGTAGCCTTCCCCGTGCAACATTATCATAGATTATGGCTTGTTAAGAGATGAGCAAGGAATTTAGGTGAAAATTACCTTTATCCCAGCCATTTTCTTAAGAGAGGCTTTCTGTCAAGTCAAAAGCCATAGCTATTTGTTAACACAGTCTAGACTTCCAGGATGTATTATTAGGCACTGAGCAGAGGAAAGAAAAGAAGAACATGGCAACATCTATACCGACCTTTCTAGGGTAGTGTGTTTTTTCCCACGTGGAGACTGATCAAGCTGTTCTGCCAGTTTTCCAGTTTCTTAGCAGATTATCCAGTGTCTGCTTTTCTTTACAGGTACAATAAAGTCAATCCATTTATATTATTCAGTGCCATATAATATAAATATCATAATTATGGATATTTTAAATCCATAATCATCTCAGCTCATTAGGATGGCTTTTAACACAGCCATTAATGGTGCATCTTCTCCACAATGTTTTCCCCAGTCTATAAAGAATGGACCCTGAGACTGTGAAATTGAGTAGTGCCCCTGGCTTGGGCTGCATTGATACAGTAATAAAGATTGTGGCCGATGGCCATGCAAGCTTTGAAAGTTAACAATGCTTCCTTTTGTCAGAGCACTTTTCTTCAGTCATGTGGATTGGATTGTGTGTTGCTCCGTTTTTGGATTTCATTCCCAGTGTGCCTTACAACTGCATTGGAGGTTTTAAGTAATCATTAGATATTAGTTTCAATCACTGAAGAAACCTCTCACCATCTACATTCCAGTTCAGTAAAGTAATAACCAAAGCACGAAGCCTTTTTCCAACGTGAATGGACAGCTCTGAGTGTCATTGCTGTGTCTATGGAGTCCTGGTTTCTCACACTTTGGATTGTGAACAGACAGGTGCCATAACACAAAGATCTGAGGAAGTCATCTGTAACCATGAATAATTATATCATATTTACATTTAATTGTATAAAATAGACTATAGAGGCTATTAATATGGGGAAGGATTGGACATCATAGTCAAAAAGTCTCCCTTTAGCTGTTCTCCAGCTGTGCCCTCCCCCCGCCCCCAACTGAGAAAGATGTCTGTGGAGTCAAGGCAGAGTGCTTTCCCAGAGTCCCAGGCACAGATGGCACCACCAGTGCAAATATTTCTAGGCACAAGCAGAGGCCAATGAGCCACACTAATCGGTGAGGTTCCTCACAGAGGTGGAAGGTGAGAGATGGGCAATGGTCCAAATTGGCCCACCTTTTTCCAGGCCGGAACTTCGAGGAAGTGAAACCTGGCCAATTAGATAATATGAAAGCTTAGATGTCAAGGCAGAAGGCTATATCATATATCAGTTTGTTAATTTGATTTATAATGGTTAAATGTTTAGACATATGGTATGTAGGTCTCCATCTGTGCTTGCCCCGAGCCTCTTAAAGGTTCTATGCAGGCTCATATCATCCTGTCTGCCATTGAACTTAGTGAGGATGTGAAAGGCACCCATTAGCAAACATGAAATTGTGGATTCTTCATTTGTGTCAGAGTTTGCATAGTTAAAGCACCTTATATAGGACGGTGAGATTCTCTGTTGTTTAAAAAATGTGGGTTTTGTTGAACTTGATGCCTAAACACAAGCTGACTACTTCATCTCATGCTCAACTGAAGAAATAGCAATTTATTTATTTCAACACAGGAGGGGGTTTGGGGGGGCGAAACTAGCTGTTTCATGTGCTGGATGTACTGGTAGTAATTTTAGGGATGGTCTAAGGGATTTTCAAGCAAAATTTCCATTAACATAACTTTCTACTAACCCAGTAAGAAGCAATCCCATGAATCCAACTACCTGAAGGCAATGTAAGATATCACAAGGATCTAACCCAAGAGGGAGAGGCATCTTTAACTTTCTACTTCCTTCTCAGGAACAAATCCTAAGTTTAACATTACTCATTGTCAATAAAGTCTTCCTCATGTAATTGTCCTTCATATCATCATATTAGAACTATTTTTACTATTTGAAACTTAATACAAGAAGATTCCAACTTGTTATTAATACATTTTCAATATTAGACCATTTCTTCCAGAGTTGATTCTGCTGCCTCCAACCCCACCCTGACTTTCTGGTCTCAGTAATTCCACTTCTGTTTACAGGTTCCCATGGGCTTTATTTTTTTATTATTGAAGCCATCTATATCATCTCCAAATTTTCCACAACTCTTTTGAGACTAAACATAATATGGATGCAGCACATTGAGACTCATTGCCTCACAAATTCTACCAGAGGTTCTTCTTAAAATGTAAAATCTGATTCAGCAGGCTTAGGATGAGATCAGAGACCCTGTTTTCCTAACAAGCTTTTAGATGACAGTGTGGCTGGTCTTGGCCACATAGCAAGGTGCTGTAAGATTTCATCAAGGAAAAACAGCAATTTCTGTCCCACTCCTTCCCACTCTAAATCTACTTTCCAAAGGTGATCATTTTTTGAGCTTAGGTATTATGCTAATATCATACTAGCATTTTTTTAGAGAAAGAGAGCACAAGAAGGGAGGGTGAGAGAGAGAAAGAGAGAGAGAGAGAGAGAGAGAGAATCTCAATCTCAAGCAGGCTCCACACCCACCACAGAAACCAACACGGGACTCAATCTCATGACAGCAAGATCATGACCTGAGGGAAATCAAGAGTAGGACATTTAGCTGACTAACCACCTAGGTGCACCTAGCATTTCTTGATTTAAAAAGAAATGATGTGTATATATATATATAATAAATGTGTATATATATATAATAAATATATATGTACATATATATATTTAACTCCTGAATTCTTTCTATAAAAGGTTAAACTATGGCTTTTGTATACCAGATCTCCATATATGTAAATTTCCCCCCACCTTCACAGTATCATTGTATAATATATTTTAGCTTAGTCAATATACTCAATGTTTACATTACAATGAGTATATAAAAATTATTAACAGCTGACCATATATCATAGTGTAATTGTATTTCCATTCTTGTATTACTTTTAATCTTCCCTGGATTTATTAGTTGCCTCAATTTTTTTATTTGATCACTTTATTTTATGTACCTGTCACTAATATAACCCAAAACCCTTTTTCAAAATGTGAAAACTTTTTACAATATGGCAAAACAAGTTAATCTGAGTTTTTATTTTTTTCTTTTTTCTTGGCAACATCTTCTGGGAACCCTCCATAGTTTGCTCTAATTTGGGCTGATTTCCCTCTGATTCTATTGCACAATTATTTTTTTAAATTACTTTTGCCATCATCCTAGGAGGTGCGTTTTCTACTTTACTAGATGTTGAGAAATTATTATGTAAACTAATGGTACCAACCCCCATCAGCAGTATATGACAGTTATCATTTGGTTATGCCTTTGATCTTTTTCCTATTCTAGTTTCTCTGTTCTTTTTCTAGAATTTCTGTTAGTTTTTTATTGGAGTTTGTGTATTAATTCTTTACTATCTTTTCTATCCTATTTTTTAAAGTTTCTTCAGTTTTCTTGTTTCACTTTCTGGAACATTTCTTTCACTTTATTTTCAGTCGTGCTGACTTGTATATTTCTATTATATTTTTAATTATTAATTATTTTCTGAATATTCCTTTTGATAGCATCTTAGTCTTGTTTCACTGATGTAATATATTTGTTATGTCTTTAAGAATATTAATAAATATTTTTAAACATCTTTAAGAGCTTTTTAGTGAATACACAAACACACACAAAAGTAGAGAGAGAAATACAATGAACCTTCCATTTATGCATCACCCAGCTTCAACAATGATTAACATTTGCCTATCTTATTTCATCTGTTTTCCCCCTATAAACACACTTTTTTTTTTCTGGAGCACTAAAATTCCAGATAGTATGGCATCTTACTCATTGATATTTTGGTAGGCAAATCTTCTGGATAAAAGGTTTTTTAAAACTTAATCACAGTACACTTACCACACACACACACACACAAAGCAATTTCTTAAAATCTTTCCTTAATAAAATTCCTTATTTGTTCAAATTTCTCCATTGTCTCAAAAAGATCTTTTTATAGTTAGTATGTGCAAATCATTATCCAAGTGATGTCCAACCATTATGATTGGTTGATTTGCCCCTATTCTTAGGTCATTTATTTGTTAAGTTAATATATAAAACTGAGCCTGATACTTTTTTCAACTCTTCATTTGCTTTTTTGCAGTATTTTTTTTTTTTCTGAGCTCTTTCTTGTTGATTTTTGTATTTGTATTCCTGTAACAGGTTTTGTCATGTTTGGTGATTGTCAAATGTTTGCTGTTTAAGAGAAAGGCACTAAAAGTCTGGAAGCTCTATGTGTATATTGGGAATTGTAGACTTAAGGGTGATTATTGGGACCTGGTTGTCTTACTGGGGGACCCCCAAAGGCAATATCTGTAATTTGTCTCCTTGATCTTGTCCACTTCCACATGTCTTTCCTGGAGATGTCAAAGAAAGGGGCACAGACTTCTCCATAGACTTTTACAGGATCTTTCTGTTTTCTGCATTGTCTCTCATCCCTTCCCTCAGTTTGGCCTTAGATCCAAAATGCAGACAGCCTCTCCAGTTCCTCTGATTCATCCACTCTAGAGAGTAAACCTTCTGTTCCACTCCAGGGCTGAGTAGGGCTGAGGAACTCATTGCATGGGCTCAAAATTGCTCCCCTCTTCAGCCCTCTTCACTCTCTGGCCTCAGGGGCTCAATGCTTCCTACCCCCTTGTTCTGAGACACACTGTCCCTTATTGTCACCTTCCCTCCATACTCCCCCACCTCTCACTAGGCATCTAGGCATCTAGGTTATAGTTTTATTTTACTAAAAAGTTGACAAAACTTACTGAATTTTCTGGAGGGAGCAAAGGAAAATACATGTTTTCCACCTGCCATGTTTAACCAGAAGGAAATCTTGCTTTCTTTTAAAATAAATTCATTATGATACAGATTTGTTTCTGTTATATCTACACATATATGCCTCACTTGTATTAATAGTTTGTAAGTCAAAAGGACTAATTTTTAAAAATTAAAAATAAGGAGTTATTTGTCTGGATTTAAGCTGATGAAAATATGCTGGAATTTTAAGCAGAAATTATGTTGTTTTGGAGACTTAAGATCATTCAGTTTGTGGAAATGAAGATTTCTCACTCTATATACTCTAGATAACTTCTTCAAATAATAAGAGAAAATGTTCCACAATAGGGAATGTTTGGGGCATTTAATTTAAGAATTTGTTAATTTGTATAGAAGCAGACCTATTAATAAATTGCAGGAATGCATTTGTAAGATAACAACTTATTTCTTTCTTCCTTAGGGCTGTCACATGGTAACTGAAGAGCTTCATTCTATAACCTTTGAATCACAGATCTGCCTCTATGGCCTGACCATAGATTTGGAGGTAGGTGTCAATCAACTATTTACTAATAATATTTTCAGTAATTTGCTGTCATTTGTAGACGAAAGCTAAGCCTTTTCTAGGTTTTAGTGCATTCTCTATTTTTGTTGTTGTTGTTTTACTATGGAAAAATCAGTATGTCAGTTACTAATTAGTCAACATTCTACTATTAGAATGTATACTATTCTGGTTAAATATACATAATAAAATCTCATGGGCATTATCAATTCAATATAGATGGAATACTTTCTTACCCAGGTTGCATGTTTGTTGGTTCTTTTTCCAGACTCTTCTGAGTCATGAATACTCAGTGGAAAGCCTTAAACTATGTCACACAGTACATAAAATCTCTCAGAATGAAGGCTTTTCTAATGTAATGAGTAAAGACAAATGATAGGAACATTAACAGTGCATTGTTTTGATTCTCTTGTAACACTCACCATTTTGCTCAAGAAAGGAATAAAGAAATTTTGAGGATTAAATTGAACATGACTGACTTTGAGCTACTTGAAGGCAGGACATCATGGCTTTGTCATTCCATTACCAGTGACTCACTCAATGCCTAGCATGTAGTAGATGTGCAACACTAGTCGAATAAATGAATGAAAGAGTTCATGAATGAACAAACATGGTTTTACACACCCCAGATATGATCTTATTTGTCAGATGTATGGTTTTAGAGTCCTGCCTTTCTTTTTTAGTCTTACTGAATATAAATGTGTAAAATTTTTCCATAAATGCCTTCCTCATTTCTTTTCCTTAAACTTCTATTTCTGTGACCTCTTAAGCTGGGTATTTTACTGTCTACAGAAATCTAACTTCTGTTATGGGGAAGGAACTAATGCAGGTTGATTGGTTTTGCACACTATCTGGGAAAGTCTGTTTATTCCATGAGGTTGAAAACTACTGTGTCAGTACTACAGGTGACTTCCACAGCAGACCGGGCAGCTATGTTTCTCCAGAATTGCTCACCTCTCCATCTTCTGTGGTTAAAATGCCCATGTTTAATACTGACACTAATTAGACTGTCAGATCATAACTTGAATATATTGATGTATTTCAGAGATAAATTTAAAATTAAATTCCTTAAAGTAACTTATTAAGAGGACAGTTGCAAAATTAATACAACCTCTAGTTGCATTTTAGGCTATACATGATATGAGAAAGTATAAATATTTGTATGATGTCAAGGGAAGATACTAGAGAACCTAACTGACCAAGCAGTCTGAAAGAATCCCTGTTTTTATGGCTCCTTTCAAATCTGTACTTTGACTCATACATGCTCAGAAAGTTCCCATACCTTCACAAGTCATTTTAGTATGTAGGGCAGTGTAGATAACTGGGATTAAAGTAGTGGAGCTGGCTCGAGATAGCCCTTCAGGGTACAGGGTCAAATATAAAATCAGTGCAAGGTACAACTACCTGTAATAACAGTGCTTTTTTTTTTTTTTTTTTAAACCAGACCAGCTCATTACCTGTGGTGATGATTTCCAATGTCAGCCAGTTACCTAATGCTTGGGCGTCCATCATTTGGTACAATGTGTCAACCAACGATTCCCAGGTAGAGTCTCTAATCTTATTTCTCCTCCTTTAAGCCTATTTGATATTTGATTTGCTTTATTGTTAATAAAACCCATATGAATCAAAAGATATCTATACATAGATATAAAATATATCTATATGATTGATAGATAGATGGATAGATAGATAGATATAAGATACATATATTTAGTTGTATTAATCCTCTCTCTTATGTTATATTTAAAGTAATATGTTCTGATGTGCTTGGACACTGGGAGGGTTCCGACTAGCAAAACTGACAGAAAAGTATTTGTTACTTCTGAGGGTCTGGTCAGCTTCCAACTGTGTGCATCCCAGAGAGTTCTAACTCCATCCTATGGCTCTGTTAATTGTACTTGGAGAGGCTTCTTGGTCTGGAATTGAATATCTGCTTTGTTTACCCCCCTTACTTTTGGCCACACCTCCAAACAGACTTTTCTACAAAGGTAGAAAATTGGTTTCCAAATAAGTCACTAGAACATTGACTAATGCCCTAATGCCTAACTGCCCCCTGATTATACATATTTTCAAGTTGATTATAGATTTAATCCATTCTAGGTGCAAGTTGGGTTTTACTGCCATCTGGTGGTTATTTGAGAAATAGATTAAAAATTGGCCTCAAGTTAACAAAGCAAGCCCCAAACAGATGCTCTTCTTAAAAGACAAGGAGAGAAGGGAGTGGCAAAAAAGATGAGTCAACCCTTCCCCTTGTTCCCTCTTACAAAACCTCAGTTGTGTTGTCCTGGAAACCACCAAGGTCTAGAGAAAATAGGTCAAATGTAAATAACATTTCTTCCTAATTCAAAGCAAAGATTCCCTCTTAAGGGAAGAATTTTTTTTACCTTGGGCTCTAACAATAAGAACAGACATGATGAGTTGGCTCTAAGTGTTCTTTCCCTTTTGTAAAAATGTGCCTGATAAGGAAACAACATGGAAAATGACTCAGCCCTATTCCTTCTGATCCTCTGCTTCCCTGGCATCTGAAACAGATTAACTATACAGAAGAAGGCTGCACAGGGTACATGGTACCTCCCTTCCTCTCAGGATAATAGTGAGAATAGGACTCACTAGAAAAGTCACCTGGTCTTTAAAGCCAAGAAGAGTCTACACCCCTGGAATTAAATGCCATTTCCTGTTGGGAGCTACACATATTCAGAGCTTTTCATTCAAATCCAGGATGTAGGAGGAAAGATGGGTCACTTCTCTGTCCTCAGTACAGTACTGTTGCACGAAGATTTCCTCAGCATCCTTCTTCTGTAAGAAAGCCATGAAAGTTGTCATACGAACCATCCTAGATTCTACTCTATTCCTGGATGAGAAATCTGGAGATGCAGATCATATATAGTTCCTAAAACGCAGATGCACAGCCACTTACAGAGTTCAGCATAACAATGAACTCTGTTTTTCTTCTTTATTCTGCTTCAAAACCTAAGCTCCTAGACCTTGATTATATTCTATGCTCTTTGGTCATTTATCCAGACACAATTCTGATTCAGGGGAAACTGCCTCTCTAGAAACTCTTTCTCTCCATTCCTCCCCTTCCTATCTCCCACTCCTTGTTGGTGTTGGATGCTGTGTCCTCTTTCAGTCCCACTTTCTGAAATCTCTTGGATTCATTCCTTTTCTCACTGCCCAGCTTAGTTCACGCTCGCCAAAGACCTTCTCCCTGTACTGCACTAGATTACTTAATTCCTCCCCTCCTTCTCTCCTTAGAACATCTTTCCTGGCTTTCACACCTTCTGCTTTCCAGTAATCTGAGATAAAGTCTTGTCTTTCACTATTGTTGACCCAGTTCCTGGTACAAGCAATCTTGTTTGCAGTTAATCACACAGAAGACTACTATATTATCCATAAAATAGGACTCAGGTGAATTTATGAATTCATATTGTAGGGCCACTTTCTTTAGCCCGAGACAACCTTTTTTGTGCTGTGGGATGCTTTGTTTGTTCAAGGTATAACTTGTTACCAACCCATGATAAACTAATTAAATAACTTGATATAGGTTTTGTTTACGATTATTAGTTAAGAAAAGAGTATTTGTCCAATGATTTGTTGACAGTGTTAAGTATTTATATGAGTTGATTGATAGCTCATAGTCTAAGGAAATTTAAAAGATGCCCAACAATTCTTTCAAGGATAAGATGGGGCCATATATTTTATTGGACTCAAGGATTAAGGAACTCTTTAGGAAAAGACAAAATCAGTACAATTAAAAAGCACAACAGAGGTATGCCTGGGTGGCTCAGTTGGTTTAGCCCCTGACTCTTGATGTCAGTTCAAGTCCTGATCTCAGGGTTGTGGGATTGAGTCCTGCGTTGGGCTCCATGCTGAGCATGGAGTCTGCTTGGAATTCTCTCTCTCTCTATCTCTCTCTCTCTCTCTGTCCCTCTGCTTCTCTCCACTACTAATGTTCTCTCTATATATAAAGATAAAATAAATCTTAATAAAAAGCAGTTCAAACAGCCCAACTTTTAAAAAAACACATAAATAAAAATAAAAAGCACAAGAGAGATGAGTCTATATTCTTTATTAACTTAGATTGGCATAAAGAGTTTAAAACAGGGACTTTATATATCAGATTATAATGTGTTCAGTGTAATTAATGAATATAATCATCATTAACAATTCTATTTCAGAACTTGGTTTTCTTTAATAATCCTCCATCTGCCACTTTGAGTCAACTCCTGGAAGTGATGAGTTGGCAGTTTTCATCATATGTAGGCCGTGGCCTTAACTCAGATCAACTCAATATGTTGGCGGAGAAGCTGACAGGTGAGAGCTGTTAGATGTGGAAGGCTTGCCTCTGTTTGGGGTACTCAAGTATTTTAAAGAACAAGGTGATATTACTACTATCAATAATAATAATGATAGTCACAACTTATTGAATGTCTACTATATTGTCAGGCATAAAACTAAATGTTATGTTTTCTTTATTCAGAATGGATAACTCATTGGTTTTTACAATTTATAGATGCGGATACTTAGGTTCAGAGGTTAAGTGACTTGCCATGGCAGCATGGCTAGTACATAGCTGAGCCAAGACACAGGCCAGGTCTGTCCAGTTCCAAAGCCCCTTCCTTTCCATTCCACTCTCCATTCTCCAGGGTGTTTTTGTGCCATTCCCACTGAGTGCAATGTGAAGCCTGAATGGTGCTTTGATCTTTCGTGTTAATATCACAATGGTCACTAACCAACCGGACGATAGCTGATTCCAGGACCAGGGAATTTACTAGAAATTCAAAGCCATCCATGCAATTCTGAATCCTCCGTATCAAGAAAATTTCAGTTTTGACTAATGATTTTAAAATTTGCAAAATAGTCATTGGTACTTCATACAGTGACTATAGTGTAAGATTTTTCTAAAAGAATTTCAAAAGATTATCTATGTTTTGACGAGTCTAGGTGAACACATTTAGCATGAAAAAAAGAGTTAAGATTGGACTTGTATACATTTCTAACTAATGTAGGGCCAAAGATGGACTTGAGCAATAGCAGTGAAATCGTGTGTGATTTGACAAGCGATGCTGGGTTGCCACTTGTACCTACTGTGTGATCAATAGGTATTTAAATAAATCAGAACTTTGGGGAATATTAAAAAATTTAATTAATGTAAATATACTTTTTGAACTTTATTTAGTTTATAAACTGCAATAGTAGGCATTCAGTAAATATTTGTTTGAGTGAATAAAGTTTTTAAATACATAGTACAGGTAGTGGCCATGCCCTTTCAGATCCTTATCAAATTATCCTTATGGGTTATAATTTCCTTAAAAATTTAGGTAGAAACTTTTGTATCCTTTCATTGCTCTGGATCAAAGTAGTCAATGCCTCCTTATTACCTAATGGGTTATTAGTTCATTCTTTTCATGGTAATAATCAGGACTCCTGGTAGTCTGGCTATATCTAACTTACATAAATTTATTTTGTGTTTATTTACCGACATTAGGCAGCTCTTACTGCCTCCTACATAAGCCATGTTCATGTCCACTAAGCCTCATCCTGCATTATTCTTACTACTGGGAGTGGTTTATTCCTCCTCCTCTAATAACTTATATCCTATTCATTCATGGGGACCTGGTCTTAGACACTCACCCTTTTCCTAAAACTATCTTAGCTCCTCCACTGAAAAGAATTTTTCTTAGATAATAAATTTCATATCTTACATCTTTACTGTTCCTAGCATTAAGCACACATAAACCCATAGCAGATGCTTAAGAAATTCTTGAAAGGGGCTGGGGAAAATTAAAATTGAGCACCAAATTGAAGAGTTTTATTGTTTAATAAAAATCTCATCCTTTTCTTTCATTTTAGTCCAGTCTAGCTACAATGATGGTCATCTCACCTGGGCCAAGTTCTGCAAGGTACAAACAGGGGAACAAGAATATCATTTAGATCATTTTTTTTAGTAGTGCTTCTATTTAAGCCTCCATATTATAATCTGGAGTTTTAAGGTTTTCCTGGATGCAGTTATTTTTTTTAACTCTATTGTCTCTCTTAAAGGAAATATTTCATTGAAAAATGGAACTTGATGATTATTATATCAATTACTATAAATAGTATTTGAAATAATATTCAATTATTACTATTGAAATAGTGATTGTCCTAATATGTTTGTTTATTCCAATAGGAACACTTACCTGGTAAATCATTTACCTTTTGGACATGGCTTGAAGCAATATTAGATCTAATTAAGAAACACATTCTTCCCCTTTGGATTGATGGGTGAGTTACAGACTATATTTTCCATAAGAGTTCATTAGGTTCTTATTTTTATGCAGTTTTTTGCCCTTCTTTTTCTTTTCTTTTTAAACATGTTTAGTGTCAAAGGGGGTGGGAATAGTTCGCTTTCCTACATTCTTAATGGAGCACTTATTTTTACTTTAATCTTAGAAGACTATTTCATTGACTTTTTATTACACTCAGTACAAATCTGTTCTTTGTGAATGAAATAAATGCAAGTGTGATAAATTAGTGTTTGTTCAGATTAAATTATGCATTGTTCTATTTTTAGGTATGTCATGGGCTTTGTTAGCAAAGAGAAAGAACGCCTCTTGCTAAAGGATAAAATGCCTGGAACCTTTTTGTTAAGATTCAGTGAAAGCCACCTTGGAGGAATAACTTTCACCTGGGTAGACCATTCTGAAAATGGTACATGCTCGCTTTTGTTTATTCATGCGAAGTTAGTATGGAGTTTGGCTATTGGTGTTTCAGTTTTCAGAAGTGTGTAGTGTGGTGTTCTGTTTCTCATGTGTTCAGTGGGTTTAAACATTAGCTGTTACAGTTGTCCCAGAAGAGAGAACCATGAATTTCTCAGAGCCTGTGTGGGTGTCCTCTGTCACATGGCCATATGTACCGTCCACAATGCAGAAAAGGGCTGGCATTGTTCTATAGCCAGTGACATAAAGATAACGTGGGCAGAAAGAATGCCCACAAAGAATGCCTGCAGGAACCTGAATATTCCTCCCCTCATCCCCCCCTTTTTTTAAAGTTTATTTATTTTGAAAGGGAGAGAGAGAGAGAGAGAATGTGGGAGATACAGAAAGAGAAGGAGCATGTGAGAATCCCAAGCAGGTTTCACACTATCAGCACAGAGCCTGACACAGGGCTTGATCTCACAAACTGTGAGATCATGACCTGACCCCAAACCAAGAGCCGGACATTTAACCAACTGAGCCACTCAGCAGCCCCTCATCCTTTCTGTTTTTCCAGGAGAAGTGAGATTCCACTCTGTAGAACCCTACAATAAAGGCCGGTTGTCTGCTCTGCCATTTGCTGACATCCTTCGAGACTACAAGGTTATTATGGCTGAAAACATTCCTGAAAACCCTCTGAAGTTCCTTTATCCTGACATTCCCAAAGACAAAGCCTTCGGTAAACACTACAGCTCCCAGCCATGCGAAGGTTAGGTTCTTTCTGTTTGCTTGTTTTGTCCAGATTTTGGAAAATGACCTCATATTGGAGTAAACAAAGTTCCTCTTTTTATCCTTTGATCATCATAAGACCTAGGGGGTACATGAGGTCAAAGCCTTAGAAATGAAGTAGTGTGTCAAACAGTTCCTGAGGAGGGATGGCTGGGGCTGTCCAACTCCAGCAGGGTAGTTAGTAATCAATAGCTGTGACTGGACTTAACCATGGCCATGGCGGCCTCTTACAGCCACTTGTAGAGTTTGGGTTTTCTCCTTTCTAAAATAGAAGTAGTACTGACTTCAACTCTATGACTGTGGGAGAAGAAAAATAAAGTGGAAGTAATGATTAGAAAGCTGTCACAAGTTAGGCAAGTTTGTTTCCTGCAAAAGAAGCCCGGGGTTTATAAGCTTTATACTTTTTACCTACTGTCATCGCACAACTCAGACTGTATGGTTATTTGGCAGGGAGGGCACAAGAGGGTCCGTGCAATGTCATGCCCCGCTACTGCGAGCCTGCCAATAACAATTCTTGACATGCCTGCCTTTCCTGGTTGTATCCTAAGGGGCTAAAATAATACCTGACCAAATGAAACATTTGGTAAATATTTGTTAAATACATGACAGAACATAAGTAAAATTAGCCATGTAATTGTAATGTAAGTTTACCATTCTTTGTCTCTAATAAAAGTGTATACAATCCACTACAGTGTTCATCTATAGCCACTCCATCTATGAGCACCATCTGTTGGAATATCCTACAATTGTTTACTCATGGATGGTGACGTGCTGCTGCCCTAGAGTTACTCTAAATCCCTCCAAAACACAAATAAATCAGTCTTTATAACCAACTTAAACATAACATAGAAGATAGAAGATAGTTAATATAATTCACTCTCAATTTTTCCCATGAATTTTGGAGACAATAATATGCAAAGTCAGATTAGGCCTGTCAAGAGATTTGTTTTTCTCTTCTGGCACATTTTAGGTCCACCTACAATACTTTTTAGTGATTTTGTGAATTGCTAAACAGTCATATTATCTCTCTTATTTTTAACATTACTTATATTTTTCTAGACTTTTAAAAAATTTTATCAATCATATTGATAACATTTTATCCTGCCTTTCTTTTCTAGTCTCAAGACCAACAGAAAGGGGGGACAAAGGTTATGTTCCATCTGTCTTTATCCCCATTTCAACAATGTAAGTAACCTTAGCCACATGTAAAATATCTATTTTGAATTTATTTTTTAAATAAATAAGCTTTTCTACAGGAAATTTAAGGATAGAGCAGACTACATACACATGACAATAAAGTATTTAAATGCTCAATATCCTATTTTCTTTAATACATAAAGCTAGCCTTCAGAATGCTCCATAGTCTACCATACCTGGAATTATTAAGTTGCCCTTTTATATGTTATATATTCCATAACAGGCTGAGTGCTCTGATTTCAAACAATGAACTAGGCATCTCAGTGTCACAAATAGATGAAGCCCTAGAAATGAGTTCCATTTAATCCTTTTCAATATGTACTTTCTTATCTCTTTAAGCCGAAGTGATTCAACTGAGCCACATTCTCCATCAGATCTTCTTCCCATGTCTCCAAGTGTATATGCAGTGCTGAGAGAAAACCTGAGCCCCACAACAATTGAAACTGCAGTATGTTTCCTTTCTTTTCCATTGCTGGTCAAGGGCACTCCTAATGAAGCAAATGTGGTACCTGTTAATCAAAAGGGCAGAAGTTCTGCCTGAGAAGTGAGAAAACACATGTGTTGGAACAAATCCATGTGCATAACACTGGGTGTGTCTATATGTTGCTGTGGGTCACTGATATTATAGGCATCCAAAGGAGACAGTTTCATTCATTTTAACTGCTTTCTTTCCATCAAAAGCCATCAAAGGGCAAAGTATTTCTGTACCTCACTCATGTTCTCTTTGTCTCTACTTTCACCATTGGCCATTGGTCAATATTTATTTTAGCTCAAGCATCACAAATTCCAGTTTTTCTTGATTAATTGTCTCTTGTATGATTAGTCCTGTCCCAGGAGCTTCTTCAAGTAATATATGAATTACAGTCAATAACAGCATAAGAGTACTCTCCTGAGAAGTGAGTCACAATCTTAAATGCAAAATGTGATTTAGGATGCATTTTATTATCATTCCTCAATACAGTCAGGTGGTTCAAACCCCAAATTTACATACAGATGAACATACTAGAATAACAGAATCTTGGAAGGACCCTGAGCCCCAAGGGATTTCTATCTGATGTTGGGGAGAAAAATTTTTACTTTACCCTTCAAGATTCTTCTGGCTTATCTAAGAATTAAATTGACATGAGATGAATAGGAGAAAATCAAATAATTACTAACCAAATGAAGTGCTAAGAGGGAGGCCATTAGTCAGGCACACAGGCCCATGAGGTCCACAGTCAGGCAGCTGAGGCTTATATGCCATTCTGAGCTACAGAAAAGGGGCTAGGAGTATGGGACTTCAAAGGAAATGAAGACAATTCACAGCAAGATGAAAAAGAGTAAACATTTCATAAACAAATGTTTGCTGGGCCATACGGAAATGATGGGAGAGAATTTAAACAAACAGACTGTTGGTTCCTCCCTGTCTACCATACGTAGTTCATATTACACTGCAGTTACCTATGGTGATCATGCCCTTCCTGGAGCAGGTCCTCTATCTAAATGCTTTCAGACAGTTAGGGGGAAAAGTCAAAGTTTCTTCCTGAGCCTTTTGTTTCTTAAAAATAATCAGCCTAAAATAATTCACATGCTAAAAATATATATTTTAGAGTGGAAAATTTTGATTATAAATCAAGTGAGTTTTAGTTCTTCTCTTGAAGATTTCCAGGGATGGAAAATCCACATTCCCTATTGACAGCCTATTTCAATGTTAGTTGTCTTAAATCATTTAGTTATAAGAGAACTTTTGCTACACTTTGCAAGCATTTCTTCATTCTATTTTGCATGCATTTCTTCATGAAATGAAATTTGTGAATACTTACTAGTTAATTGGTAAAAATATGTGATGTATATAGTAGATAAGAGGATGTTTACCTAAGAAATTATGACTTATTTGCAAAACTAATAGTTTCCTCAAAAATCATTTCCATTTTCCAACTTTAGATGAAGTCTCCATATTCTGCTGAATGACAGGATAAACCCTTGACACTCAAAAGAAGGAAACAAATGAAAAAGCTTAAAGACTGATCTTTGCCAACAATCAAATCCTATTTCTTCAGCTTTGTATATACCCGTTTCCAGGAAATGGTTCAAGTGTGAAGCTCTCCTCTCACCGCATGACACCACCAATTGGGAATGTTGTGATTGGAATGCGAAAAACCAAAGCTTGCGAGATAAAACACTTGAAGAAACCAGTGTTAATATAACATTAACAAAAGACTCCTTTATATGTATTTGTTTCATTTCTGATTTTGTTTCTCACATGTTGCTTACAGTTTTGGCTCCAGAACGATTAAGTATTAAGATTTCAGAATAGAGGCGCCTGGCTGTCTCAGCCAGAAGAGCACGTGACTCTTGATCTCGGGGTTGTGAGTTTGAGCCCCACATTGGATACAGAATTACTTAAAAATAAAATCTTTAAAAAAGAAAAAGAAATAAGAGAAAAATATTTCAGAATAAGTCAAGAATGATAGAGTCACACCTACATCACTCAAAAGCCAGCAGGAAGGCCTGAGAGAAGAGCCAAATAAGCTAATGTCCTGAGTTCTGGCAGGTAATAGGTACCAGATGGAAGGAATGATGGGACATGAACAGCAGCAATTCACACCATGTCCTGGAATGAATTATGAAGACCCTTGATTGCCATGTGAATCCTGTCCCAACTTTGGGGCTTACAGCTGTTGGCACCACTGCCAGGGATGACCTCTCCTTAGGGAAAGGAATCCAGTAATATTCTCTGGTGGTATTCTCAGGTAAATTGCACTGAAAGCAGGTAGAGAGGAAAAATTCTCATGAAACAAGGGCTCTAGAAGAGTTTGGACTAGGTGAGGCCTATGATCCTTTCCAGCTCTAAGTCTCCTGTCCCACGAATCCTACTTGAGCCTGGGAAGGAGTTTAGGATGAAGAGAAGTTCCATCCATTCAATTTTCTCTGGTTATGAGGGAGGGGAGGGGTTTTCTTGCATGCTAATGCATGTATATAACCTGCAGGTCTATTCTGATCCTTGCCTTGCTTTAGTGGTGCCATTGTCCAGATGCTGCCCTCGTTAATAATCTGGGATCCCCCAACACCCAAGACCTGGAGAGGTCTCTAGGTCCACAAGCCCTAGGGAAGCTGTTGAACCAGGTGAGGAATTCACAATACCAAGGCATCTGCCATGACCAACTACAAAAAATCTTGTTGCTGGTGTTCAAGGTGAGGTCTGACTGCAGAATCAGAGATGACCGTTCCCTCTGGAGGACCCCTCTGTAACTTCTTCCACTCATCTTTTATCCATGAGGCAAGCCACACGGAGAGAGGCTAATGTTTAATGGAAAATATTTCACAGAAAAAGAAAAGGTTTTAATATAACCTGCCTTCTCAAAGAGAGTCCATCTTACCAATCTCATCTTTTATACCCACTCACATGTACCCAACTGGATCCTATATTGTTCTTTGAGAGGCAATCTCTGCATCTGCCCCAAGGCCAGTTCTCTTATTCCTTTGCAAGCTCCTGATAGTACTCTTATGGTCAAAGTGTCTAACTTTGGCTAACTTGAGGTGTATTCTCCCAGTCTCTCTTCCACAGCTCAATTTTCTAAAATTCAAACATACTAATTGGTAGCAAACTTAGAGTAAATCATCATAAACCTTAAAGAAGTAATCTCCTACCAGGAAATACTCTTAAACAATTGGATTTAGAAGTCAAAAAAAGTTGCAGAAGCTTTTCATTCCCTGGAATGTGTTAAAAGTATTATGCACACTTATTTGGCAAAATTTTGAAAGACTTCCTAATATAGAGCCTGGTAGCAGAATGCCAAGCTCTCATGTGTGCTCTTAACCATCATTGTTATTTGAGGGTAGAAGATACAAGGACATCTGTGGTTTGCTCCCTATAATAGAAGCAGAGGCCATGTAGTAAGAATAAGAGTTCAATAAGTGGCTATTCTAGGTTCCGAAAATCAAAACCAAGCTCTTGGTCACAGTACAGAATTAGTTCCCAAGAGTGTGAGTCTTGCATTCCAGAAATTATGTTTGTGAGAGTAACGGGGTCTTGGCATGGTATACCTGGAGATCTATGTTTAGGTCAGGGCAAGGCGTGCCACGTGCGATGAAGCGTAATGAATGGGAAGGGAATTTAGACCATGCTTCCACCAAATCCTCCCTCAAAATATTTTTTTTCACAACTGGCAGCTGCAAATAAGTAGCATTTAATGAAACAAAATGTAGACTTATTTTTTAAATACTGAATCACATTTTCACTTTTCTCCTCACCTATCCCACTCATCCCAGACATCCATTTTGGTAATCCCTTTGCAGATTCTTTTTCATGTAGACTCACCTTGACCAATTGTCCCAAATATCAATGACTTTATCTAGAATAAATGTTGAAAAAAGGCAGCTGCCATGGATTTCCTCAAAGCCTTAAGGTAGCAAGGAAGGCCCCTCCAGAGACCCATAAAGAATGAGTATGCTTCTGGCAAACCCAAGGGAGTTTTCTTTCCCTTACATGTTCAGGAGACCCAAGAACTCCTTGTAGAAGAAGGAACAGAATTAGAGGTCAAACCAATCAGCTATATTCTAACAGCAGATAAGTATAGTCCAGACTTAGCAAACTGCCTCTGTATATACTCCAATTTCTCACAGACATTTTTTTCTTCTTTTTCAAATTGACTACAATGATTGATTGATTTGACTTTATTTTTTAAAGTCTGGCTTATTGAAGTACAATATAATAAAATTCACGCTTTCCTGACAAACCCATACAGTTGTGTAACCACCACTGTAAGACAGAACATTTCCACCATTTGTGAATATTTTCACAAAGAGGACACTAGAAAAACATGATTTAGGATATTCTCTGCAACATCCTTAGAGTAAATACAACAAACAATTCCATGTGGCTTCCCATGTAGACAGAGGACTCTATTTAAAATAAATTTGGGGTGGGGGGTAGAAGGAGTGCCTGGGTGGCTCAGTCAGTTAAGTGTGACTTTGGCTCAGATCACAATCTCATGGCTCTTGAGTTCAAGCCACATGTCAGGCTTTGTGCTGACAGCTCAGAGCCTGGAGCCTGCTTCAGATTCTGTGTCTCCTCTCTCTCTCCCCATCCCCGACTCAAGCCCTATCTCTCTCTCTCTCTCTCAAAATAATAAACATTTAAATTTTTTAATAAAAATAAAAATAAATAAAATAAATCAGGGGGTACTTGGGTGGCTCAGTCCTACTCATGATCTCAGCTCCGATCTTGATCTCAGGGCCATGAGTTTAAGCCCCACATTGGGCTCTGCACTGGATGTATAAAGCCTACTTAAAAATAAAAAAGTAAAACAAAATAAATAAGATCATTTTACCCTCTGTTTATAACCTTCAAATGGCTTCCAGTGCCCTGGATACCTAGGGTGTATGGATAGAATTCTGGAGCTTCATGAGGCTGGATGGTACAAGTTAGAGTTTTATTTTCACAGACTTACAACTAAAACTAGAACTTCCTTCAATTATGAATAAAGGCAACAAACCATAACCCACACCTTTTTGTCACATTACAGTTGTTACAATTATCTCAAAATATTGCTTATGCTAAGCACAATTTTGAAATTGTCATCAGACCCACTGCTAGATCTTATTTAATGCCATGAACAAAGACGCACTTATATCAGTATATCACAAAGTTGGTTTTAATATTTTGATATCTGCATCTCATTGTAGTTGCTTTTCTATTTAATCTCATGTATTTTCTTTTATTCAACTAAAAATATTACTCTTTGCAGAAGTTCATAGGCTTTATCAGACTGCTGAAGGGGCCCATGGCACAAAAATTTATTAAGAATCTCAGTTCTGGGATAATGACCATAATTCCCAACGGATCTTTCCAAAGTCATATTATTTAATCTCTTCTTAGTCTTCAACTCCTCTCTCTTTGCCTCCCCCAACAATGGCTTCTCACTCTAAAACATACACGCACAAGACTGAACTACTTTCCATTTCTTTGATGGCTCAGGCGTGCTATCACCTCCCTCCACTACATCTTCCCAATTCTTCAACCCCACCTCACCCACCTTGCTACCCTACAGATAATGTTCACATATCCTGCAGGTTCTAGAAAGCCTTCTGCCCCTACCTGGCACCCTCCTCACATGCACATGTGAACAATTCAGGTCACATCATGCTTCCAGATCCCCCAGCACCATTTCTATCAACTTCGTTGTAAAGGCATATTGGCTGCCTTCTTCATTAGACTCTAAGCAAACTCTCTATGGACAGGGACCAAGAAGGCTTTGTTCACAATTATATCCCTAAAAAGCTAGCACAGTCTCTGCCTCTTAATCAATATTTATTAATTATTTAATGCTCGAACACATAGAAGACAGTAATTAGTTCCTTTCTTTCTATTGCTCCTTGACCTGCCTGCAAGACTAAGCTAGAATTCTCTATACAATCCTCCGAATTCTAAAATTATGGAATAGTCACTGATATTAAACTTCAAATCGATTAACCAAAACATGCTTGCCATTGCTTCCCCCTACCTCACCTCACTCATAACTTCCAAATTCTGTAGAAATGCTCTGGATTAGATTATTTGCTTATTCTAACTTCTCTTTAATTTAGATACCTTATATATGGCTAATATCCCAGACATCTGCTGATCCATAGATGAACCAAGTGCCCTTGAAATTTCCCTTCAACTCCAACTTCATTAAACTCAATTCTTTTACTACTCCTGGGAAAAGCCCTACACAACACTCTTACATTAGGCTTGACAGTCATCCACTTAGATATCTCACAGACCGTTGTCAATGGGAAGAACACTAGAGGCTGTCTAGACAGGGTGGAGATGAGGAAGAGGTTGAAAAAGATGTGGAATAGTGGTACTCTCATTAAAATCCTTTGGGGAGTTTTTCAGAATACACATACCCTTCATTCTCCTCCCCTCAATTCTAGCTTGGTAAGTCTAGAGCCAGTGTTGAGGTCTGAATGGTTGAATTAACCTGCGATTCCTGATTCCAGTGTTGGTCAATGGTATTATGCACTCATTAAAAAAATATCATAAAAATATTGAGATTTTGTATCAGGGACTGTCTTTCTCAACTAGGGATTTCCCATCAGAATCATAAGACACAGTAAGTGATCTGCTTGACTATTTTCCCAGCTGTTCCAAGGATAGTACATAGTGCCATTTGAGGTATATAGGTATACCTATATAGGTATATATAGTAATTCATCACAGATGCCTCAGGCCTTTAGGCTTAATTCTTCCACAGAACCCAGGAGACTGTCACAGTACAAAGTCCCTCGTGTCGTGAGGAGAGATGGAAACAAATAATAAATGAGGGATTTAGTAAGTGCTATGAAGACTATCTAGAGTGACTGGAAGAAGTGGTCAATGAAGGTCTCTCTGGGGAGATATTTGATCTGAGACCTAAAGAACAGAAGGAGCAAGTTCATGGACACAGCCAGAAACACAGCATCCTAAAAGGACAGTAGCTACCTAAGACCCTTGCCTAATGAAATCAGTGCTTGAGGAAAAGAGGCCACAAGGAATGGAGCAGGGAGAGACGTGGAGTGACTGGGGCAATGTGGGTAGGAGAGAGGGGCAAGCCCAGATCATGTAGGACTCTGGAGGGAAAGCTGAAGGCTCTGGCTTTTATTACAATGCTATAGGAAAGACTGGTGATATTATTTTTGTTTCTTCATTATAGCGAAGTTTTCATTTGTTTCAAGTAAATATATAAAAAATTTTCTACAGAAGAACTCTCCTTCAATTCCTGGACTAGGAACTTCATGGTTGTACACCCTGAGCAGTTGCACGGGGCCAGCACTCACAAGGGCTCCATGTTTGGTTTAATACTCTACTGTTGCCTTCCTGAAATTCTTATGAGTTTTGAATAAGGGACCCCATATTCTCATTTTACACTGGGTCCTGCAAACTATGCAGCTGTCCTGTCTTTTTTTTTTTAATTTTTTAATGTTCATTTATGAGAAGAGAAAGAGTGCAAGCAGGGGAGAGGCAGACAGACAGGGAGACACAGAATCTGAAGCAGGCTCCAGGCTCTGAGCTGTCAGCACAGAGCTTGATGTGGAGTTTGAACTCAAGAATGGTGAGATCATGACCTGAGCTGAAGTCAGTCGCTAACGCACTGAGCCGCCCAGGTGCCCCAGCCTGTCCTGTCCTTCTAATGGGAAGATAAACATCCACTGGCATTGTGGGATTTATGTAAAGAACACTTACAGGTCCCCATGGGAACTGGTGCTCAGTCTTCCATGAAACTGGAGGCTGTGGTACAGTAAGACGGACCTCCTCATACACTGGAGGTCCTGGGGTCCCTATGACACCGTAAGTAGTTAGGGCCCTTTGTTGGTGCTGGAGCTGAGCCCAAAGAAACCCAGTGTGCCTCCTCAAACCATTCAGTAAGGCACACAGAGGAGCAGGCAGAGCCCAAACTATTTTTCCTGGGCCTATCAAACTTTTTAAATCATGGTCCAAAGACTAAACTATTCTCTTCCATTATACTAATCCCCCACTCCCTCTAGCATAATCACCATAAGGGAGAAGGCCAGGGGGACAGGAAAATCCCAGGAGAAAAAGAAAAGCCCCTTTTGTAGATAACTGCAAAGGGACACCTCAAGAGCCAGCCAGCCCTCCACCTTCACCTTCACACCAGCTGGGTGAAGGTCAGAGTGTGGGAGACAGGGTCTGAGCTAGCATGTGTGCAGACTGTGTACACAAAGACGACAGGGAGTAAAACAGGTCGTCTCCAGGCCAAAGGAAGAAAGAAAAAATAGAAGTGGGATGAGTAAGGTTTCCAGTATCTTCAGGATTATTAAACATTCCCCTCCTTCCCTCCGAAGTTAAGGGGCACCCCTCCACCCCCACCCCCGCCTCTGCCTTTCATCTAGTCCAGGACCACTACTGTAAAGACTTGGGCGACCGGACGGGGGCGGAGGGCAAGTGGCAGGGCAGATGCTGGCACCAGCGTGCGGATCCCGCCTCCTTCCTCCCGGAGGCTGTGGGAAGGAACCGCTGACGGGGCAGCCAGACTGTGGGAAAACCCCGGGCGCGCGCCTGCGCACTGCTCCCTCCGTCTCTCGACTTTCGCTTTTCGGTTTCCTCCCAATTCTGCTCCTTCTCGCTCCCGGGCCGTTTCCCCGAAAGCACGTGGGACGGCTCTTCCGAGCAGCCGCGTCCCTCCCGCCGCGCGGCGGGCCGGCTGTTTTGGAAACCTTTCAAAGAGCCGGACTACCTGCAGCTCCCAGTGTACCGCATCCTGGGCACGCATAGGCTGCTCTCCAGAAAGCACAGGACTTCAAAAGCTGTTCACGAGGCTGTTTGGATGATGAATGTAATACTGCACACTCTTGACATTTGTGGGGGAAAAAGAAAAAAAAAATTATATAGTAACCCACTACCCAGAATCTTAAACACTTTCAAATATTTTCCCTCCTTTTTTCTTCCCTTTTTTCCCTTTCTGTGAATTTCCATGTATTTCCATTTCTATATGTTCTTAACAGTAATAGGATAATACTGTCTATGTTTTCTATCCTGCATTTTAATTTAATTTTATACGTGGGTACTTTCCAGTGTAACTAAATAATCTTTGAAAGCATAACTTTCATATTCTAGCATATAAGTATCAAAAATCCAGAAACTACAGGGAATTTTAGAAAACTTTTATTTTTAAGGGTCCCTGGATGTTTCAGCCAGTTAAGTATCTGACTTAGCTCAGGTCATGATCCCATGGTTCATGGATTCTAGCCCCACAGAGCCCTGCATCTGTTCCTGAGCTGACAGTGTGGAGCCTGCTTGAGATCCTCTGTCTCCCTCCCTCTGCATCCCCCTCTCAAAAATAAACATTAAAACAACAGCTTAGAAATCCTTTATTTTAATCCTGTTATATTAACAGATTGACAAATATGGCTTACACTGATGAAGTATAATTCCTACTATTAGATATTTCAGTTACCAACATTACTACAACATTGGAAAAATATGTCTAAAATGCAATATGGTACTATAGATTTTTTCATCAGATTTATAGCTGCCATTTTGAATCAGACCAAGATCATAAAGACAAAACACACAGGGAGTAAGTTTTTCATTGCCGGACAATGGTCCTGCACGGCCTGAGAAATTCCATTTTCTAATTCAGTAGTAGGATGCATTGATTTCCCCCCTAAGATCTATAACTGTGATCAGTTGCTCTATAGCAAACCAAACTATCCCCAAAACTTAGTGGGGATGAAACAACAACCATTTATCATTGCCTGTGAGTCTGTGGTAGACTGGGCAGTTCTGCTCTCTGGGGCAGGCCTCTGATCTTGCTGTCTCACATGCCTGAGGCCTAAGCCCTGACAGCTGAATAACTCAGTGGTGTTCTGTGTGCTCTCTAGTGCTGCAGCACGCTAAGCTCACTTGCCTTGGAGGCAGGGCAGGGTTTGTGGAGCGGAGCATTGTGAGGCCCCTGAGGCACAGGCTCAGACTGGCACAAAGTCATATCTGCTGCCTAATATTGGTCAAAGCAAGTCACAAGTCAGCCCAGATTCAAGGGGTGGGAGAATCGATCTCACCTGTTAACTCAAGGGAGCTACAGAGTCACATTGCAAAAGTGAGTGCAAAAGAGGAAGGGAATCATGTGACCATTATTGAAAACAATCTACCAGGAGATCCTTCCTAATTAATTCTAATGAGAATTATATAACTGACAATATCTATCTTTTTGTAGGCTGCATTGTATTCTATATATTACTAGTTATTATAAATACAATTAAATAAAAAGAACTGAGTGATTGGAAATAAAAGAAGGCATAAATGAAGAATAAGAATGATAGGGGCACCTGGGTGACTCAGTTGGTTATGTGTCTGACTCTCGGTTTTGGCTCAGGTTATGATCTCACAGTTTGTGTGTTCAAGGCCTGTATTGGGCTCTGTACAAAACCTCCTCTCCCTTTCTGCCCCTCCCCTGCTCACTTGTTCTGTCTCCCTCTCTCAAAATAAATAAAAAATTTAGCAAAAAGAATAGGCATGATACTGTCTTTTTGATGACTTCTCCAAGCAAAAATAAATTTGCTTCAAATAGGAGGTCTGGGATGGTTTCTAAGAATCTTTCCACTGTACCATCATGTGAATTTATAAGTTACTCCAGTGCTTTCAATAACTCATCATAAAATGTGGCATCTCAGGGCACTTGGGTGGTTGTCAGTTAGGCATTGGACTTGCACTCAGGTCACGATCTCTTGGTTCATGGGTTTGAGCCCCGCATTGGGCTCTGTGCTGACAGTTCAGAGCCTGGAGCTTGCTTCAGACTGTGTGTCTTCCTCTCTCTCTGCCCCTCCCCTGCTCATGCTCTGTCTCTTTCTCTCTCAAAAATAAATAAATATTTAAAAACAAAAAAATAATAAACAATAAAATGTGGCATCTAGACTCCTCATCAGCTTTGTCCTTTAAACAAACACCAGTTAAGGGATGGCAAATAATAAGTTTTATGTTATCTGCCATTTCTGATTAGCTGCTATGACTTACCAGATAGAGCGTTGAAAAGTATTCAGAAGCTGGGCACTGGCAGCAAAGCGTACCCTGTCATTTGTTGACTTTAAAAAATATTGTTTTATGTTTATTATTGAGACAGAGAGAAACAGAGCATGAGCAGGGGAGGGGCAGAGAGAGAGGGAGACACAGAATCAGAAGCAGGCTCCAGGTTCTGAGCTGTCAGCATAGAGCCTAACGCAGGGCTTGAACCCACAAACCATGAGATCATGACCTGAGCCGAAGCTGGACGCTCAACTGACTGAGCCACCCAGGCACCCCAAGCTCTTTTTTTTTTTTTTTTTAACTGAAATACAGGTCTTTGCATTTACTGCTTCAAGTTTTATCCAGTTGGTTTCAGCACAGAGCAGTCTACCCTAAGATAATTTAGACTTTTGATTCTGTCATCTGTGAATTAGCTAATTCAGGGGTGGGGGGAATCTCAGGGACTTAAAACAATGACAGCAAACAACACATCTTACTCATGGGTGTATGGTTAGGCTACAGCAGTTCTGCTCCAGGTGGTAGGTTTGGGTGTGGGCGGGGGGCTCCGTGAAGTTTTCCTTCTAAGCTTCTGGTTCCTTCTAGGACTCAGCCCGGGAGGAGCAGTGGCTGCTTGAGCCTGCCATCTCCTAGAGCAGAGAAAGGACACATAAGGGCAAGTCAATCACACGGAACATTCAAAGTCTCAGGTTGGCTGGAGTGTACCTCACATCTGTTTATATCTCATTACTCAGAGCATGTCAAGGCCCCAGTGAACCAGGCCAAGGAATGGGAAGGGAAAGAAAAAAAAAATGATGATAATACAATCTAACAAACATGGCATTAGCTATTTTTTTCCCCAGATTTGTGTCTTTTGCAAAGTTGACATTGTTGGTATAGAGACAGTTTCCTAAGCTGACTATTCTAAGGAGGCCATCACATTTGGGTCTTTCATTTTGGATCTCTAGCTGGGTTTTGTTTGGTTTTGTTTGGTATTTTTATTCGGCAATTTTTCAGCAGTCAGCATATTAAATATAAAATACATACTGTTTGCCCTCCAGGAACTTAGAATCTTGGAGGGAATAAGGCTTGGACACTTCAAAAATCAAAATATAGAGAGTGTGTGGTGATTGTCAATATAAATCGAGACACTTCTATATCATGTTCTTTCAGAGACAAGATTAATCAGCACAGGCTGAGGTCATTCCAGAAGGAGAATACAGGATTTGGGCTTAGTTCTAAAAGTTGGGTAAAGATTTGACAAGTAAAGTGAGTAAGGGGCAGGACATGCCATTTAGTATGTGCAATACTTGTCAATGGTATGAGCAAAGGGACAGAAACAGGAAAATTAGAAGCTTGGGCAGGGGGTAGGGAGAACAGGGAATAGAGTTTAGTTAGGTAAAGGACAGTGTGGGACAATGCTGGAGAGAAAAGTGAGGACATTCTGTCGAAGATCCAGACTAGCAGACAAAGTTTGCATTTATCATAAAGGCAGTGAGAGTGGTCAAGGCCCTGGAGCAGTGATTAAGTGTATCAGTGACGGTAAAACAAAGGAGGATAAAGGCCCAGGGAAGGAGGCATCCACAGCACTCGATGACAAGGGCTGACTTCCTAGAGTCACATTTTCTCAAACACAGTCTGACCCTGCCTGCAGGTGAATAGGAGTGGGAGGCCTTTTTATAGCAGGCAGGCATTTCTTTTTACAGAAGGCTGCTACTTTGGTAACAAGGGTCATTGCTATCCCAGGTCAGTACTGGCTTTGTGAGGGTGAATATGTGACAAGAAGGAGTATATAGATGTGGGAAGAGAAAAATAATAGACACGTGTATAAACACATCCTTGGAAAATTATTTAGATCCTTTTCCTATGTGAAGTTGCCTTATTATTAAGGCTTTATTCAATTTCCATCTCCTTGAAGGAGCCAATTTATCATATGGGCATACCTTCCAAGAGGATCGAAGTTAGGCTGGACTCACCTGGGGGAGTGCCATTTAAGCTGAGTTTTTAGCTAGGACACAAAATATGACTTAGCCAGAAAAGAGGATGGGGGAAGGGGATGTTGCCCCAAGTAACTTTCCAAATGGAGAACTGCTGATCAGAAGGCCCTGGGTTTGGGGGAAGAGGTTGGCATATTTGAAAAACAAAAATGCTGAAGTATGGAAAGGAAAGAGTGGCAGAAGATGGGGTTAGAGAAAGTGATAGTAGAACCAGGGCTTTGTAAGCTCTATTAAGAATTTTGAATTTATTAGGGGCACCTGGGTGGCTCAGTGGGTTGAGCGTCAACTCTTGGTTTCGGTTTGGGTCATGGTCTCACGGTTATGAGATTGAGCCCTGCGTTGGACTCTGTAATGAGTGTGGAGCCTGCTTAGGATTCTTTCTCCTTCTCTCTGCCCCTCTCTCTGCCTCATAGGTGCAGGCACACATGCACATATGCTCTTTCTCCCTCTCAAAATAAATAAACATTAAAAAGAAGTCATCATGGGATTTTTCAAATGGCAAACACATGCTCTGCTTTGAAATTAAAAAAAAAAATCACTCAAACTGTTCTAGGAGGATGGATTAAAAGGGAATTAGGAGCAGAGTGCCTGGCTGGCTCAGGTGGTAGTACATGTGACTCTTGATCTCAGTGTCATGAGTTCAACCCCCAGGTTAGGTATAGAGATTACTAAAAAAAAAACAAACAAACAAACAAACAAACTTCTTAAAAATGGGTGGAATTAATAGCTTAAGTGAGGAATCTACTTGGGAATCTACCAGAATAATCCAAATGAGAAAAAAAGTGGAGATGGTAAAAGAATTGGAAAGAAGTGGATGAGACTTGAGGAATATTTAACAGGAAGAATCAACAAGGCTCAAGGACCAGGTGTAGGTGCTGAGGGAGAAGGCAATGTCAAAGATGGCTCCTAGCTCTCTGACATATGCTAACTCTAGGTAAAAAAAATTAAAAAAAAAGGGGGGGGAGGGGGCAGTTTTGAAGAAAAAGATGATGAATTGGTTCTGAATAGAACTAGTTTGCAGGGTTCACCAGACACTCAAGTGTTGTCAAGTGAGGATTATACACGTGGGTATGAAACTTACAGGAGAGGTGTGGACAAGATTCACATGCAGAAACCCTTCACATAGAGAAAAACTGAAGCTGTGGGTGAGAGCATCACCGACAGCGTAAGAAATGAAGGTAAAGCTAACCAACATCAGGACCCTGACAACATTTAACACTGAACGGTTTGGCAGTGGAGTGAAGCAGACGTGAAGAAGAGTGCCTTACAGGTGGGAAGAAGCAAGCAGGATGTTGTTGCATGGCCAAGGACGAAATGTTGAGAAATGGAGGCGCCAACTGTGCCATACGTTTCTGAATGGTCAAGTAAGGTGAGGACAGAAAAAGCGCCCCCTGGACGCTGCTAAACTTCGCTTCTAGAAAGACAACGTCCCCTACCTGTGTCCTTTGGTTTGGGTTCCCAGATATGGGGCTAATGCAGGGTACTCCAAGTTTGGGCCTCTGCAAACACAGACTTCCGTTTACTTGTTCTCTAAAATGTTTAGAGGTAACCGCCAGTCGGCCGAGTTGCAACACACACGGGAAACTTCACCTCAAGCCACCCCCCCCCTACCCCTCCCTCACCGGGAGAGCTCTGCTCAAAGCCTAGGGAAGGACTCCGCGCGCTGGCCCAGCGGCGGCCCCGGAGGGGAGGCAGCGCGCCCGCGGAACAGCCACGTCCGATTGGCCGAGTGCGGCAGCCTCCCAGTGATTGGCGGAAGCGGAAGAAGGCGGGGCGCCGGGTGCTGTCTTTATTCCCAGCTGGTACTTTCGTTTTCCTGCACCGAGTCTGCGGAGTGCCTCCGCCAGACCCGGGACGACGCCCTTCAGACCCCAGACCCAGTAGAGGCCACCCGGGTGCCCGGGAAAGGCAGCACCGCTGCGCCTCCGCCCACTGCTGCCCGGCCCAGCGCTCAGAGTGAGTAGGCATGAGGTTCCGGGTACCGGGGTGTGATATGCCAGGACCGCCCCGTTGGGGCCTGGCAGCGGGACGCCCGGAGAGGACGGGCTTTGTAGGTGAGTCCGTCATCCCGCAGAGTGCGTCCCCAATGTCACAGGTGTTCTTCTCGGTGACGACTCGATTGCCCCTGGCAGTCGTGCGCTGGCAGTAGAGGTGTCTTTTGAAATAGAATTTTCCCACATGAAACACTACATTTACCCCGTTTACCCTTACCTTTTCCTCCTTCCCGCCCCCTTCAACCAGTCACCTTTTCTTCTTTTCACAGAAAAGTTTTCATTTGCCTCGTGCCATCCTTGGAGAGCTGTCTGGGTTAGACGCTCACATCCTGTGCATGCAAACCCAACAGTCTTGGCACCTGACGTGAATAGCTGCTGTTTGGGTTAGATCCTTAGCCCCTTGCTGGGACACAAGGTGACAGGTCAGTAATTGTTCATGGAAGCGAATGAATCAGTGCATAATTTTAGAATTTTAATTCTGCATCTATGTTTAATTTTTTTAATGTTTATTTTTGAGAGAGAAAGAGACAGAGTGCTAGTGGGGAAGGGACAGAGAGTCAGGGAGGGAGACAGAATCTGAAGCAAGCTCCAGGCTCTGAGCTATCAGCACAGAGCCTGATGTGGGGCTCGAACAGACAAACCAGGAGATCATGACCTTAGCCGAAGTCGGTCGCCCAAGGCACTGAGCCACCCAGGCCCTCCTGCATCTATGTTTAAAGATGAAGGAATTTAGGGGCGCCTGGGTGGCTTAATCGGTTAAGTCGGACTTGGGCTCAGTCATGATCTCCCAGTTTGTGAGTTCGAAGTCTGCCTCTCTTCTCTGCCCCTACCCGGCTCACACTCTGTCTCTCTCTCTCTCTCTCTCTCTCTCTCAAAAATAAATAAACATAAAAAAATATTTTAAAAAAAGATGAAGGAACTTAATGTCTTTCAAGAATATAAAAGTTCCTGCAAATCCCTGTATAATATTAGTCTTTGAGAAAATTGTGTCTAATACTGAAGAGTTTGTGTGTGTATATATAATATATATGTAAATATATATTTGTATGTGGTTGGCTGTCCTTTGGATGTTGTTTGTGTAAGTTGGAGAGGTTGTTTTTATGGGACAGAAATAAGATGAGCCTCTAGCACAATCCAGTATGCAACCACTGCTTAATGAGGATGCAGAACTCCAACTTCGTAGAGTGTAATATGGTTTGCCCTTTACTTTCTAATTCAATATGAAATATACCAGATTTTAATTCAAACTTACTGAGTACATCCTCTGTGCATGACACTGTCCAATGTATAGATGATGTTTAAACAAAAAGAGAAAGAAGACATGGCCCCAGCAACTCTGAAACTCTGAAGCTTACATCACGCAAGGGAGAAATCATAGAGCTTAATAAGGAACTGATGATCTAATAGAGGGTACAGAATGCAATGAGGCACAAGTCAAAGAAAGCTGTCTCTGGATGAGTCTTAGCTATATGGAAGAAAGGGCATTTGTATTTACCTTTGAATGCTGGTAGGATTTAGAGAGGCAGAACTTTGTGGAGAGGCCGTTTTCAAGGGTGAGAGACAGCTGGAACAGAGCAGAAATGTTGGGCATAGCCAAAACGCCGTAGAGAATTTGGTAAATGAGTTGCTTTTTTAATGGATGCAAATAGGGTAAGGGTGTAAATCAGCCTAGGAATAGGCAAACTAGAAGTTTTAAGCAAGAGAGGGTGTGGTCTAAGTGTACAGCAGGAGGCTGGATTGGGAGACAGTGTTGGAGTGGGGGGTTGTGGTTTTTTGTTTTTTGGGTTTCTGTTTTGTTTTGTTTTGTTTTTTTAGTATAGACCTTTCTTGGCAGGTATTGAGTGCAAAATGGTAACAAATCCAATGGGATGGGAAAGGAGGTGGGACATGGTTCCCCTTTGTCCAAGTGGGGACCCTGTAATCAGGCCAGTGGATTGGGAGCACTTGACCGTGGCCACTTTGGATCAAGCGCCCTTCAAAAAACAAGCTCCCAGGTGGGAGGGATCCTCACAGTACATGGGAAGGGAAAAATGCCCCAGAAGGGACATGGGCTGTGTCCTGCACCCTGGCAGCCTAGCTCCTGCATACCACACTCCTTGGCAGTTTGGGGACTAGGCTAAACTTATCCGTCTGCAAACCCAGGCATCTGCCCCCTACCTCAGTTTTCCTCCTCCCAGTGTTTAGCCAGGTTGGATCACCAGGCCCTCTTAGGGGTCCGGCCCAACCCAAGGTGAATGGTTCACATCATATACCATATTTTAGCCACTGTGTGCGCTGCAGGCCTTCGGAGGCCGCAGGGAGGCAGCTGTGGGCTGGCCCTAGCCAAACAACCCTTTCCAGGCCACAGAAATCAACCCAAGGTCTTGGGATTACAGAGGGGGAGTCAGCCTAACATTGGAATTTGAACCAGGTGACTGGGGGATGATCACGTCACTCCTTGCATTGGTTACAGGTTTTGTGAGAAGATGATATGGGTTCTAGATTTGTTAACATGAATTTATTAATTGCCTGCTGTGTGCCAGGTGCTGCGTCTATATGACTTCTTCCAGTCTAAGCAACCACACTGTTGACAGGGAAGTGAGCTGCTTGAGGTTATGCGTGTAATAAGAGGTGCTGTACCCCCTCTGGCTGATGCTCTGACCAGCCTATTTGCTTTAGGCACATCCTTATTAAACACCTAGCAGGATGGGAGAGAGCCACAGATTTGGAGTCTCCCACTCAGGTAAAAAGAAGTGAAAAATCAAATTTCTATAGCAGGTGTGCCAAATGGGTGGGTTTGTGTCCATTTCTACTGGGATTTGTGAAGGTAACTAGCTTTATAGTCCCCCCCCCACCCCATATCCTTACTTTGGAAGAAAATTTGTGGAGTAGACATGACTTCATGCCTGCACATGTGTGCTGGCCAGCATGTGTGCATTACTCTTCCATACCCTGCTTGAAAATCTAGACCCTTTCTCAGAGGCCTGGGAGGACAAGATTCACATATACCCACTCTGCATATTGCCACCTGTGCACTAATCCTAAATTACGCTGTGGTAATAAGAGGTTCTTTGTTTTCCTCAGAGATATGAGGACTTCCTTAAATCAGGTTTTTGTTTTCATTTCCTTAGAACTGCTGTGAAAAAACTGACTTACAGTTATCCAAATAGGTAGTGTTACTTTATCTTTTGAAATTATATTTCACAATGTTTTTTCTTTTTTTTTTTAAATGTTTTATTTATTTCTAGGAGAGAGAAAGAGAGACAGCGTGAGCAGGGGAGGGTCAGAGAGAGAGGGAGTCACAGACTGAAACAGGCTCCAGGCTCTGAGCTGGCAGTCAGCACAGAGCCCGACGCGGGGCTCAAACCCACAAACCGGGAGATCATGACCTAGGCGAAAGTCGGACGCTTAACCGACTAAGCCACCCAGGCGCCCCTTCACAATGTTTTTTCAATCATTAAAAATTATTACTGAGGGGCACCTGGGTGGCTTAGTCAGTTAAGCATCCGACTTTGGCTCAGGTCATGATCTCACAATTTGTAAGCTTGAGCCCCATGTCGGGCTCTGTGCTGAAGGCCTGAAGCCTGGAGCCTGCTTCAGATTCTGTGTCTCCCTCTGTCTCTGCCTGTCCCACACTTAGGATCTTTTCCTCTCTCTCTAATATAAATAAATACTTTAAAATTAATTAAAAAAAGAAAGCATAGGGATAAAGCCCTTTGATAAAAAAATATAAAAAAATAAAAATAAAATAAAAATAAAAATTATTACTGCGATTAATAGTTTTTGTGCCAGTTTTAATATTTGTAGTAGGCCAAAAAGAAAATGTATCTTTTTTAAAAAGGTATAAGACAAAAATAATTCATTTTACCGTATGAATCACAAAATATCAAATACTGGTTTAAAATTCTTTCAGTTAATACAAATGTACTGTATTTCTAAGAGGACAGCTCTGGAGAGTTCTTATGATTTGTTTGAAAGCAAATGTAATTAAATAATATTTTCTGGTTTTTATTTGATAAAAGTGCAGATTCATTTAGAAGGCATATTATGTGCCTAGCACTAATCTGGAGATAGAGCAGTGAACATTCCACCCACCCTCCAAATTCTTCCCTTTGTGTGGGGAAAATAGACAGTAATCAAAAGAAAAAAGAAAATAAGCCACCTGGGTGGCTTCATAGGTTAAGTGTCTGACTCTTGATTTGAGCTCAAGTCGTGATCTCACAGTGAGATTGAGCCCTGGGGTTGGGCTCTGAGCTGACAGAGCAGAGCCTGCTTCGGATTCTTTTTCCCCTCTCCCTCTCTCTCTGCCCCGCCCCAGCTCTTTCACACATATGCATGCTCTCTCTTTCCTCTCAAAATAAACAAACATTAAAAAAAAAAAAAGAAAAGAAAAAAATATATAGTTAGGTGGTGGTTAAGTGCTATGCAGAAAAATGCATCAGGACAGAGGGATAGTGTTTTACGAGGTAAGAGGTGATGTCAATTTAAATAAGGTGTCCAGAAAAGGTTTCCCTTTTGTGTTGACATTTGAACAAAGGCCCGAAGATGTGTTTTCTGGAGAAGAAAAAATGATTAACTTCCAAACCTCAAT